ACACTCTCTGCTTCATTCGGAAAAATGCTGCACTTGCAGAGCTCATGCAGTGTTGTATTTCGGCGTCGATGTTGACTTTGGTGGAGAGGTGGCTGCCAAGGTAGCGGAAATGGTCCACATTTTCTAATGTGACACCATTAAGCTGTATTTCTGGCATTGGAGAGGGATTGGCTGGTGACTGCTGGAAGAGCACCTTGGTTTTCTCAATGTTCAGTGATAGGCCGGGCTTCTCGTATGCTTCTGCGAAGGTTTTTAGAGTGGCTTGTAGATCTTCTTCTGAATGCGCACAGACGACATTGTCATCAGCATACTGGAGTTCTATAACAGCTGTTGTTGTAACCTTGGTTTTGGCTTTCAGTCTGCTGAGGTTGAATAGCTTGCCATCTGTCCGATAGATTATTTCCACTCCGGTGGGAAGCTTCCCATCAACAAGGTGAAGTAGCATAGCGATGAAGATGGAGAATAGAGTTGGGGCAATAACACATCCCTGTTTGACACCTGATTCCACCTTAAATGGGTCACTTTGGGAGCCACTGCTGTCCAAGACTGTTGCCATCATGTCATCGTGGAGGAGCCACAGGATGTTCACAAATTTGTTTGGGCACCCGATTTTGTGGAGGATGGTCCAGAGAGCGCTGCGATTCACTGTGTCGAATGCCTTTGCAAGGTCGATGAATGCCATGTACAGAGGTTGGTTTTGTTCTCTGCATTTTTCTTGGAGCTGTCTTGCAGTGAAGATCATGTCCACTGTTCCTCTGGAGGGGCGGAAGCCATTCTGGGAATCTGGGAGGGTGTCTTCTGAGAGGGGCAGAAGGCGGTTTGCAAGGATTCTTGCGAGGATTTTCCCAGCGGAGGTTAGAAGGGAGATACCTCGATAGTTTCCGCAGTCTGTTCTTTCCCCTTTTTTGAAGAGGGTGATGATGGTGGCGTCCTTGAAATCTGCTGGGATTTTCTCGGTCACCCACACTTTTTCTATGAGCTGGTGGAGTTGGTGTGTCAGCTCATGTCCTCCCTCTTTAAAGATTTCAGCAGGGATCCCATCAGGTCCGCTGGCTTTGTTGTTCTTCTGTTGGCTGATGGCATTGCTGACTTCTTCCAAACTAGGCAGTGCTGCAAGCTCGTCCCTGGTTTGTTGTTGCGGGATTTGTGAGAGGACCTCTTCGGCCACACTGGAGCTGCGGTTCAGGAGGCTTTGGTAGTGTTCTTTCCAATGTAGTGCAATTGAGTTTTGGTCCTTCAGGAGTTTGGTTCCATCTGATGAGCGTAGAGGCTGTATGCCATGGTTTCTTGGTCCATAGATGACCCTTGTGGCTTTGAAAAATCCCTGAGCATCATGGGTATCTGCCAGGTGTTGGATTTCTTCAGCCTTCTTTGTCCACCAGATGTTCTTGAGTTCTCTTGTCCTTCTTTGGACCTCAGCTTTTGCACTGGCATAGATCTTTTTCTTAGCAACACAGTTGATGTCTCTCTGCCATGCTTGGAAGGCTTTCCTTTTCTTGTCAATTAGCTGTTGGATCTCGATGTCATTTTCATCAAACCAGTCTTGATGTTTCTTGGCTTGGTATCCAATAGTTTCTTCGCAGGCTTGGATGATGGAGGTCTTCAGTTTGTTCCAATGTTCCTCGACATTTTCGGGGTGTACTGTGGAGTGGGTCCTTGAGTGCTGTTTGGAGATGGGCTCGTCTGGAGGGCTCCTGAAGGGCTTGGGTGTTCATTTTGCGCCTTGTCTTCCTTCCTTGGAGTCTGCGCTTGGGAGCGATCTTGATAGCCATCGAGGATCGAATTAGCCTGTGGTCAGTCCAGCAGTCGTCAGCACCTGTCATGGCTCTTGTGAGGAGCACGTCACGGCGGTCTCTGGCGCGTGTGATTACATAGTCTAAGAGGTGCCAATGCTTTGACCGGGGGTGCTTCCATGATGTCTTGAACTTGTTTTTCTGGCGGAAGAGCGTGTTGGTGATGACAAGGTTGTGCTCCGCACATTTGGTGAGAAGCAGGATGCCATTTGAGTTGCTGTTTCCAACCCCGTCTTTTCCTATGGTCCCTGGCCACAGGTCGAAGTCTCGCCCGACTCTTGCATTGAAGTCCCCCAGGAGGATGATTTTGTCCTCCTTAGGTATCCCCGATAGGACGGTGTCCAGCTGACAGTAGAATTTCTCCTTGATGTCTTCGTCAGCATCTAGTGTTGGTGCATAGGCACTTATGATGGTTGCCCGTTGGTTTTTGGCAAGATCGATTCGGAGGGTTGAGAGTCGTTCGTTGATGCCAGTGGGTGCTTCGGACAGATGTTTCACCAGATCATTCCTGATGGCAAAGCCAACTCCGTGCATTCTTTGGTCTTTTTCGGGCAGTCCCTTCCAGAAGAAGGTGTAGCCTCCTTTTTCTTCCTTCAGCTGTCCCTCTCCTGCTCTCCGGGTCTCCTGAAGGGCTGCTATGTCGATGTTGAAGCGTCCCAGCTCCCTTGCAATGATGGCAGTTCTGCGTTCGGGGCGTCTGCGTTCGGGGCGTTCACTGCCGCTGTTGTCCATCAGAGTCCGTACGTTCCACGTACCGAAGTTCATTTTTTTTTTGGCCGCAGGGTGGTGACCCCACTGGACACAGCAGTCCAGTCAGGGATAAGTGAGGCAGACTATGTTTAGGGCACCTTTTCTAGCCCCCTCCCCATGTGGGGTGAGCAAAGTGGGTCCTCAAAAGGGCTGCTCAGTCGCGGATACAGCTGCCGAACTACTCAACTGCCTCGGACCTTGAGGTAGAACGACTGAGTCCGTACCCACCGCCCATGTGCCAGTCTGTGACTAGGGGCTTCCAGATTTCACAGTCCTGCCCCCGTCGCCACTCGCTGATCGCCATGGGGCTTTGGTTGGTTTGCTTTTATTTTCTTTGAAAGATGCCTGTGCGTGGGTTTTTTTTAATGTGTGGAGGTCAGTGCACAACTGATCAACACACAGACTTCACAGAGTGAGGTTCCACTGGTGATGTAGTTTAACACAATGACCATGGCTTCTCAGTCTGTTGCAGCCTTCTTCCGCCTTCGCAGCCGTTGTAACATGTGCCATGTTATCCTCTGCCTGCTCCGCCGTTGAGGTCTTTGGGTCTTCGGACTGTGCTTCGTCTGGAACTTCCCCCGCGGCCACTCCTGGGAGTGCACGACTCCAGTTGTTGTGCCTACAGGTTCATCGGAACGCGCAAGCCCCCTCACCACGACAAGGTGACAGTCCATCGAGGGGGACTGCACAGTTCTATAGTGCAGATGTACCCTTAATTTTGGAATGACAGATTGTAATAATAGATTAGAATAATATTTTGAAAATGGATGTACATCATACTGTTTATTGCCATTCACCAGCATATATCTGAGTGCCTCTTTTGCCATACCAAGTTCTAGGTAGGAGAAGGAGAGGAGAGGAAGAAGAAGACAGAAGGAGAAAAGAAGACTTCTTTTACCATGCTGGAACTTACTTTTTTATTACAAATTCAGATATTCTTAGGAGTTATGCATTGCATATGTTGACACCAAGATCTGACTCCCAGCTAGAAAGCAATCACCTTAAATGTTAGAGGTCCCACAAACAGAATGTGGAGAATACTTTTAGTAACTTTCATTCTGCAAATTGTGTTATTTCCCAAGAGCTTTTCCTGAATTGGACAGGCACCAGAAACCGCAAGAAAAATGTCACAGTCCAAAATAGATTCACTTAAATCATAGCGTATCTTATGTGTCTAGCAGAATGAATCATTACAGCCATTTTTTAGTCATGATGGAGATGTAGAACCACCAGCTTCAGGAACAGCATTTGTTGAAAAAAAAATTGATATATATCACCCATTAGCATCACCCAACTGAACCAATTGTAAGAGAATGTAGAAACTATATCCAAAAAAATCTGGAGAATTAAATGTTTCCTAACTCTGCCACTGAAAATTAGTTTCTGAAAAACTATGGTGGGGGAATTGTTATTGCACATATATGACACACATAAAAGTCCTGGTCTTTGTATAGTGAGAAACAGGAGAGACCAGTATTTTCACCGTTGGCATTATAGCATCCAGCTGTGTGTAATTGAAGTCAATGGGAACTTTCCAAGGGGAGAGGACCCTTAGTTTCCACCAAAGAGGGAACGCTACTAGGCCTGTTTGATCAAGAAAAAATTTGTTTCTAAAATCGATTTGTAATTGGGGTGTTTTTTTGTTTNGACCAGTCCACGCCAGAGCTCCCTGTCGGCCGTCACCACCCCCAGCTCCTTCAAGGTCAGTCCAGTCACTTCTTGTTGTACTGCTATTGTTATTGTTTTGCTTAACTGTTTTATTTGCTAGGTACTGTATTGTTGTATTGTTGTATTGTGTGGGCTTCGGCCTGTTGTAAGGTGCATCGAATCCCTTGGGAGATGCTAGCGGGGTACAAATAAAGTAATAATAATAATAATAATAATAATAATAATAATAATAATAATCTGACATGGTGGGCGACAATGAATGACGTATGCAAGACAGATCTGGCCTTGAGTTGGACACATGTGCCGTAGAGAGATAGGCCCAGTGGACAGACACCAACCTGATGCTGCAGGGTGGTTTGTGGAGGTGGTCCCGATGCCGCTGACCGCTGTGGTTGGCCGTAATGGGTGGCCAAAGTCCTCTGCCCCCTCTTCCCTCCCTCCTCTCCAAGGCCCGAGGTTCTAAAACTGGTTGTTATGCCTCGGTTCTAGAAGGGAGCCTTCGGAACACTTGTCACTGTGGAAACTCCTCCGTCCAAGGAGCAACAAGGAACCCTCCGCTCTGGCCATTCCCCTCGCCCGGCCCGTTGGCGCCAGCGACCAAAGGAAAAGATGCGAAGGGTGCTGTGCTGAGAGAGAGAAGAGACGGACAGACAGGCGGAGCGAGAGACGGACAGAGAGAGGTTGGCAGGGTTGGCGTCAACGGTTGGGTGCCTTCCTCCCCTCGGCAGGGCTGATGTGTCGGCCTGGACCAGGGCTCCACCGGCACGGTCTCGGCTGCGGCCCCGGCTCTTGGCCGCCCTTCCTTTAGCCAGGCCATGAAGAGCTTCACGAAGCGAGAGGCGGACCGGAGGACGTTCCTGGAGCAGGTTCGGGAGAGCAAGGAGAACGGCTACCTGCTCTCCTCCAAGAAGATAGGCTCCGGAGCCTTCTCCAAGGTCTACCTGGGGTACGCCACCCAAGAGAAGATGATGCAGAACTACAAGCTGGCCTCCGACCTCCGCAGCAAGCGGCACTCCATGGTACGAGGACCCAGATGTCAGAAGTACTCTTCAGACTTTATAAAAAGCATTTAAAAGATTATTTTATTTCATTCACAATATTTATTTCTCGTGTCAGGGCAGCCAGTCAGTTATATTACATTTCTAACAGAACAAAGCAAACAAACAGAGAAAATACAAAATGTGTGAGTTGGGTAGTTGATTAAATGTCCTTTGACCAGTCTCTGGCCCCTTGGAGTGCCTCTGGTGTTGCTGCAAGAAGGTCCTCCATTCTGCACGTAGCAGGGCTCAGGTTGCATTGCAGCAGGTGGTCAGTGGTTTGCTCCTCTCCACACTCGCATGTCAAGGATTCCACTTTGTAGCCCCATTTCTTGAGGTTGGCTCTGCATCTCGTAGTGCCAGAGCGCAGTCTGTTCAGCGCCTTCCAGGTTGCCCAGTCTTCTGTGTGCCCAGGGGGGAGTCTCTCATTTGGTATCAAACATTGGTTGAGGTTCTGGGTTTGAGCCTGCCACTTTTGGACTCTTGCTTGCTGAGGCAATCCAGCGAGTGTCTCTGTAGATCTTAGAAAACTATGTCTGGATTTAAGTCGTTGACGTGCTGGCTGATACCCAAACTGGGGATGAGCTGGAGATGTCTCTGCCTTGGTCCTTTCACTATTGGCTGCTACTTCCCGGCGGATGTCAGGTGGTGCAGTACCGGCTAAGCAGTGTAATTTCTCCAGTGGGGTAGGGCGCAGGCACCCCGTGATAATGAGGCATGTCTCATTAAGAGCCACATCCACTGTTTTAGCGTGGTGAGATGTGTTCCACACTGGGCATGCATACTCAGCAGCAGAGTAGCACAGCGCAAGGGCAGATGTCTTCACTGTGTCTGGTTGTGATCCCCAGGTTGTGCCAGTCAGCTTTCGTATGATATTGTTTCTAGCACCCACTTTTTGCTTGATGTTCAGGCAGTGCTTCTTGTAGGTAAGAGCACGGTCCAGAGTGACTCCCAGGTATTTGGGTGCGCTGCAATGCTCCAGTGGGATTCCTTCCCAGGTGATCCTCAGAGCTCGGGATGCTTCTCTGTTCTTGAGATGAAAGGCACATGTCTGTGTTTTAGATGGATTGGGGATCAGCTGGTTTTCCCTGTAATAGGCAGTAAGAGCACCTAGAGCTTCGGAAAGCTTCTGTTCTACCATCTCAAAGCTCCCTGCTTGAGCGGTATGGCACGATCATCAGCATAGATGAAGCTCTCTGTCCCTTCTGGCAGTGGCTGGTCATTTGTGTAGATGTTGAACATGGATGGAGTGAGCACGCTCCCCTGAGGCAGGCCGTTCTTCTGTTTCCGCCATCATTCATTCACACAATGAGATGGAGTGTACCACAGAGCAATACAGAGAAAGAAAGCAAACACACAGACTCATTAGGACTGTGATGTATTTTCGAATGATGCGCGCAGATCCAAGTCAGGTGGCCTTTTGCAATTGACAGATCGTGATTTTGTCGATGTGTATTGTTTCCAAATGCCGGCTGAGATCTTTTGGCATGGCGACAGGGACCACCTGTACTGGTTTATGCCAGAGCCTTTGCCGTTCGATTTTGAGGTCTTGATAGCGGCTGAATTTTTCCTGTTGTTTTTCCTCAATGCGACTGTCACCTGGAATGGCAACATCAATAATCCAGACTTTTTCTTTTCCTCAATCGTGATGTCTGACGTGTTTTGTGCTCCAAAACTTTGTAAGTCTGAATTCAAAAGTCCCACAGTATTTTTGTGTGTTCATTTTCCATGACCTTTGCGGGTTTAGAATCATAGAATCATAGAATCAAAGAGTTGGAAGAGACCTCCTGGGCCATCCAGTCCAACCCCATTCTGCCAAGAAGCAGGAATATTGCATTCAAATCACCCCTGACAGATGGCCATCCAGCCTCTGTTAAAAGCTTCCAAAGAAGGAGCCTCCACCACACTCCTGGGGCAGAGAGTTCCACTGCTGAACGGCTCTCACAGTCAGGAAGTTCTTCCTCATGTTCAGATGGAATCTCCTCTCTTGTAGTTTGAAGCCATTGTTCCGTGTCCTAGTCTCCAAGGAAGCAGAAAACAAGCTTGCTCCCTCCTCCTCCCTGTGGCTTCCTCTCACATATTTATACACGGCTATCATATCTCCTCTCAGCCTTCTCTTCTTCAGGCTAAACATGCCCAGCTCCTTAAGCCGCTCCTCATAGGGCTTGTTCTCCAGACCCTTGATCTGCTCCCTCCTCCCTGTGGCTTCCTCTCACCTATTTATACATGGCAATCATCATCTCCTCTCATCCTTCTCCTCTTCAGGCTAAACATGCCCATCTCCTTAAGCCGCTCCTCATAGGGCTTGTTCTCCATACCCTTTATCATTTTAGTCGCCCTCCTCTGGACACATTCCAGCTTGTCAATATCTCTCTTATGATCCCTTTATCAATTCTTTACTGCTGGCAGGTGGTCCTTGTGACATAAGTTCCAGTGAATCATCTGGGCCACAGAGTTGTGCCTCTGTTTGTAGTCTGTCTGTGTGATTTCCTTGCAGCAGCTGAGGAGATGATCCATGGTTTCATCCGCTTCCTTGCACAGTCTGCATTTTGGGTCATCTGCTGATTTTTTGATCCTGGCCTTAATTGCATTGGTTTTGTCAAGGAACTGCCCATGCAATGCTTTGTTGTGCCAGCTGTCAGCTCTGGTTTGGAATTTTATTATTATTATTATTATTATTATTATTATTATTATTATTATTATTATTACAATTACTATTATTTCACTCCGCATTCACACACATATCACATTCATTCATCGTCATGCATATATCGCCATTCTTCTTCCTTCTCCTGGAGAAGAGAACTTGCACTTAGACCAGATTGTTGTTGTTCATTCGTTCAGTCGTCTCCGACTCTTCGTGACCTCATGGACCAGCCCACGCCAGAGCTCCCTGTCGGCCGTTACCACCCCCAGCTCCCTCAAGGTCAGTCCAGTCACTTCAAGGATGCCATCCATCCATCTTGCCCTTGGTCGGCCTCTCTTCCTTTTCCTTCCATTTTCCTCAACATCATTATCTTCTCTAAGCTTTCCTGTCTCCTCATGTGGCCAAAGTACTTCAACTTTGTCTCTAATATCCTTCCCTCCAGTGAGCAGTTGGGCTTTATTTCCTGAAGTATGGACTGGTTGGATCTTCTCATGGTCCAAGGCACTCTCAGAATTTTCCTCCAACACCACAGTTCAAACACATCTTCCTTCGCTCAGCCTTCCTCTATGGTCCAGCTCTCACATCCGTAGGTTACTACAGGGAATACCATGGCTTGGACTAGGCGGATCTTTGTTGCCAGTCTGATGTCTCTACTCTTTACTATTTTATCGAGACTGGACATTGCTCTCCTCCCAAGAAGTAAGCGTCTTCTGATTTCCTGGCTACAGTCTGCATCTGCAGTAATCTTTGCACCTAGACATACAAAGTCTGTCACGGCCTCCACGGTTTCTCCCTCTATTTTCCAGTTGTCAATCATTCTTGTTGCCATAATCTTGGTTTTTTTGACGTTTAGCTGCAACCCGGCTTTTGCGCTTTCTTCTTTCACCTTGATTAGAAGGCTCCTCAGCTCCTCCTCGCTTTCGGCCATCAGGGTGGTGTCATCTGCATATCTGAGGTTGTTAATGTTTCTTCCAGCAATTTTCACCCCAGCTTTGCATTCATCCAGCCCCGCACATCGCATGATGTGTTCTGCATACAAGTTAAAAAGGTTGGGTGAGAGGATGCAGCCTTGCCGGACGCCTTTCCCAATCTGAACCCGTCTCCTGTTCCGTGGTCAGTTCTGACTGTTGCTCCTTGGTCCTTGTACAGATTCCTCAGGAGAGAGAAGGTGGCTTGGGATGCCCATCCCACTAAGAACTTGCCACAATTTATGATGATCCACACAGTCAAAGGCTTTAGAATAGTCAATGAAGCAGAAATAGATGTTTTTCTGAAACTCCCTGCCTTTCTCCATTATCCAGCGGATATTGGCAATCTGGTCTCTCGTTCCTCTGCCTTTTCTAAACCCAGCTTGAACATCTGGCAACTCTCACTCCATGTATTGCTGGAGTCTTCCTTGCAGGATCTTGAGCATTACCTTACTGGCATGAGAAATAAGGGCCACTGTACGGAAGTTTGAGCAGTCTTTCGCATTTCCCTTTTTTGGTATGGGGGTATAAGTTGATTTTTTCCAGTCTGATGGCCATTCTTGTGTTTTCCATATTTGATGGCATGCATCACCTTGACAGCATCATCTTTTAGATTTTAAACAGTTCAGCTGGGATCCCGTCGTCTCCTGCTGCCTTGTTGTTAGCAATGCTTCTTAAGGCCCATTCAACCTCACTCCTCAGGATGTCTGGTTCTAATTCATTCACCACACCGTCATAACTATCCTCAATATTATTATCCTTCCTATACAGATCTTCTGTATAGTCTCGCCACCTTCTCTTGATCTCTTCAGCTTCTGTTAGGTCCCTGCCATCTTTGTTTCTTATCATACCAATTTTTGGCCAGATTGCTTCCCTGCAAATCTGCCACTTTTCCAATACTTCCAATACTTTTCCAAAACTTCCAATACACATTCTTTCTTTTCCTCTGAGAAAGAAACAAGTGTCCAGACTCTTGACAGGCAGCTAAAACATGTTGATTCCATCAGTTCCTGGACAGATGTTGACTTTCCTTCCCAAAATCATCATTAGTTTTCCCTAAGTAGGAACCTTGTTTGCTTCCTGCTCAACATATCTATCTGTCTGTCTGTCTGTCTGTCTATCTATCTATCTATCTATCTATCTATCTATCTATCTATCTATTTATTTCAAATATTTGTACCCCTCCTTCCCAACCCCCGAGTGGGGGGAGGACCTAAGATGGCATACAACGGCAACCATTTGATTGCTAACACATACAAAACCACAATACAACATGACTTAACAGAGTAGATAAAAACATTAGGTTAAAATAAATTTAAAAAATTATCAACCATGTATTGTTGAAGGCTTTCATGGCTGGAATCACTGGATTGTAGATTTTTCGGGCTATATGGCTATGTTCTCCAGGCATTTTCTCCTGACGTTTCACCTGCATCTACGGCAAGCATCCTCAGAGGTTGTGGGGTCAACCATATTGCCATATCTGAGTGCAATTCAGCGACCAACGACCCAGGCCAAAGCCTGTCCCTAGTCTGTTCTAAAACATTGTGATTGCTGTCATAATAATAATAATAATAATAATACTTTATTTGTACCCCGCTACCATCTCCCCAAGGGACTCGGTGAGGCTTACATGATGTACAAAGTACATCAAACAACATCAATAACACAACATTAATAAACAATCAATAAAATACAGATCATATAAATCACATAACAAAAACAACAATCATATTAAAAATGGCCGGGCCAAATGTAATATATTAAAATTGAAAATATGCTATTAGTTGGAGTTCATTTGGCAAGACCAGAGCCTGGGTTAGAGAGCACAATAGCCAGAAGCTAGAGCAAAAGTTATTTACATATAAAATTTGCAGCAAAGTTTCAGCAGGGATCTTCTGGTCCCATCTCACTGGTCAAGAAAGCCTCAGGCCTGGACGGAGCTGTCAGAGCTCTTGTCGCTTGTTGATGCTGCTTCATAAGTTCCTTTGTTGAATATTTGCTGTTTGCATGCTGTGCTCTGCCCTGAGTCCCCTCCAAGGCAGGAAGGGCGGAATATAAATGTGAGGATGAAGTAGATCCCAGTAGCTATCACCAGAATAACCACGATTCCTACCATGGCTCCTACAATAAGTCCCATGTTGACACCAGGCTCTTCATAAGCCAGGACCAGAGGCTTTGGCAGGCTAGCATGATCCAGTTGGCATCGGTAGAGGTCCCTCTCCTTGGGGTCAATGTCAATGCTGAGCAAGGTGTGGTAGGTTCCATCAGAGTTGCGAGCAATGTTCCTATGGAAGGTCTCATGGTCCATGTCAAGCCTGTTACCCATAAACAATACTGTAAACACTTCCTTACTTAAAACAGCCATTGTCTTTTGTAATGCAAACATGTTGTTTTCCACCAAGAGTTCAACTGTTAATCATTTGCCTCTGGTCATCAACAGTTGAGCAACTTTTAATTACAGTTCATGAAGTCTTCACCTCCTTCTTGTAGTTTTCTAGACTTCAGTCTTAGGATGACATCTCCAAGCTCGAAGCTTTTAAGCAGAGGCTGGATGGCCATCTGTCAGGGGTGATTTGAATGCAATATTCCTGCTTCTTGGCAGGGGGTTGGACTGGATGGCCCATGAGGTCTCTTCCAACTCTTTGATTCTATGATTCTATGATTCTATGATTAAGCTACATATACCCCAGCCATACACTTTTCATACAATTCCACTCAATCCATACATAGGAGCTCCCAATGGTGCAATGGGTTGGCAGGACTGAAGGCCGATAGGTCAGAAGTTCAAATCCGGGGAGAGCATGAATGAGCTCCCTCTTGATGCTGGTCATTGACTGTAATAGATGTTTATATATATATGAGCTCCCTCTGTCAGCTCCAGCTCCCCATGCGTGGACATGAGAGAAGCCTCCCACAAGGTTGGTAAAACATCAAAATGGCATCCTTGCAGATGGCCAATTCTCTCACACTAGTTTCTCAAGTCGCTCCTGGCACACAAAAACAAATCCACACATCATGTTTATCCATGTCACAAAGATGCTTGAGCTGTGGGTCACCAATGGGCTGGACTAGATGGCCTTTGGTATCCCTCCCAGTGCACGAGGAGGGGAAAGGTACATGCCACCACAAGCAGTTCCAACTGGAAGCCATCCTGCCTCTTTCTCTTGGGGTACATCAACAAAACTTCCGCCCTCCAGGTGTTTTGGACTTCAACTCACCCAATTCCTAACAGCCTTAGACCAAAGAGGAAACCTCTCTGCGTTGTCTCTCCTCCCAGGTTGCCATCAAGATCATCTCCACGGCAGAAGCACCGGTCGAATATACCAAGAAGTTCCTCCCCAGAGAAATCTACTCCCTCAACGTGACCTACAAGCACTTGAACGTGGTGAGTCTCCTGTGGTATCCAAGTCCCAAATAGTCACTAGAGACAGGAGATCTCCATTATTGTGAGTTTGTTGATCAGATAAACTGCACAGTGAGCTTACACAAATAGAGCGCCAAACCACATCTCGGTCCAGCTTCTGTTTTGATAGACAGTCTTAACTTTCATTCCCTAACTTTTCCCTTCCTGTGCACAGGTGCCATCAACCATTAGTCCATTACATCATTATTTCATTGCTGTGAGTATGTGTATTCAAACCCATTATTTCAGTGGTAGCGCATTAGCCTCCTAGTTTCTTCCCATCATCTATGAGAAGATTTATGGCCTTGCTGTCTTCCTCCCTGCTACATCACTCCTCTGTTTAAGCTTCGAAGTCTTAGCAAACAACTCTTTGAAGTTTCTTAGTGGGGAGACAGCTACAACTAACTTCTGGTGAGGCACCGATCAGTGATCAATATATTGCTTACATAATTACTTAGGCGATCCCTCGTTGTCCGAGTAGGATTGTCCTCCAAGTTCGGTGTCCTGGCGGTGAGTCTGTAGGTGGCTGTGGAGCCCTATTCTTGACCTGCATCTTCTCCCGCAGTGAAGGCATTGGTTTCCAGGTGGAATTCAGTCCCAGTTGGGGTTGTGTTGATGTGCCTTCCTCTTGGCATGGTTCTCTCTTTCACCCTCCATTCGTGTCTCTTCAAATCCTACAGCACTGCTGGTCACAGCTGACCTCCCGCTGGAGCGCTCAAGGGCCAGGGCTTCCTAGTTATCTCTTGGTGTCTATGCTAGAGTTCTTAAGGTTGGCTTTGAGCCCATCTTTCAATCTCTTTTCCTGTCCTCCAACATTCCGTTTTCCGTTCTTGAGTTCGGAGTAGAGCAACTGCTTTGGGAGATGGTGGTCGGGCATTCAGACAACGTGGCCAGTCCAGCGCAGTTGATGGCGGAGGACCATCACTTCAATGCTGGTGGTCTTTGCTTCTTCCAGCACGCTGACATTTCCCCGCCTGTCTTCCCAAGAGATTTGCAAGATTTTTTGGAGGCAGCGCTGATGGAATCATTCCAGGAGTTGCATGCGACATCTGTAGACAGTCCACGTCTCACAGGCGTATAGCAGGGTTGGGAGGACAATAGCTTTATTATCCCTCCAAATGCACTTTATACTGATTTTGGATTGTTGTACACTCCCACCGACGCCCCATCCCTCCCACCTTATCCATGCCTAGCATTATTTTTAACTTTAATTGCATTTGGCCCAGCCATAGATTTTAATTGTGTGTTGTATTACTGTCATTGTATATTGCTTTTTTGTTTTGAGTTTTAATTGTTTTACTGTTGTTGTTATTGCTTGTATTGATGTACTTTGGGCTCGGCCTCATGTAAGCCACACCGAGTCCCTTGGGGAGATGGTAGCGGGGTCCCCTCCATTCCCATTCGGTGATTCTTCCCTCTGTTCTCCTAGATCCAGCTGTATGAGATGTACCGGAACAACAAGCGCACCTACCTGGTCCTGGAGCTGGCCTCCCGGGGAGACCTCCTGGAGCACATCAACGCCACTTCGGACCGGAGGGAGCTCCCGGGGCTGGAGGAGGAGGAGGCCCGCAGGCTCTTCCGGCAGATTGTCAGCGCCGTAGCTCACTGCCACAACGTCGGCATCGTCCACAGGTGCAAAGCGGGTGAAGGTGGCACACTCTCCGGCACATTGGGCAGGGCCAGTGATTGCATGTCCCTGCATGGCAGAAACTGTTGAGGCATATCGCCCAAATATTTCTAGTCTCTACTCCTAATCAGATCTAGAAACAAGGAGATTTATTTATTTTATTTATCGAGTCATCAGCAACCAGTCATTTATATTACATTTCTAACAGAACAAAGCAAACAAACAGACAAGATACAAAAATACAAAATACAGAATACAAAATTTATGAGTTTGGTAGTTGATTAAATGTCCTTTGACCAGTATCTGGCCACTTGGAGTGCTTCTGGTGTTGCTGCAAGAAGGTCCTCCATGGTGCATGTGGCAGGGCTCAGGTTGCATTGCAGCAGGTGGTCAGTGGTTTGCTCTTCTCCACACTCGCATGTCGAGGATTCCACTTTGTAGCCCCATTTCTGAAGGTTGGCTCTGCATCTCGTGGTGCCAGAGCGCAGTCTGTTCAGCGCCTTCCAAGTCGCCCAGTCTCTGTGTGCCCAGGGGGGAGTCTCTCATTTGGCATCAGCCATTGGTTGAGGTTCTGGGTTTGAGCCTGCCACTTTTGGACTCTCGCTTGCTGAGGTGTTCCAGCGAGTGTCTCTGTAGATCTTAGAAAACTATGACTAGATTTAAGTCGTTGACGTACTGGCTGATACCCAAACAGGGGATGAGCTGAAGATGTCTCTCCCTTGGTCCTTTCACTATTGGCTGCTACTTCCCGGCGGATGTCAGGTGGTGCATACCGGCTAAGCAGTGTAATTTCTCCAGTGGTGTAGGGCGCAGACACCCTGTGATAATGCGGCATGTCTCATTCAGAGCCACATCCACTGTTTTAGCGTGGTGAGATGTGTTCCACACTGGGCATGCATACTCAGCAGCAGAGTAGCACAGCGCAAGGGCAGATGTCTTCACTGTATCTGGTTGTGATCCCCAGGTTGTGCCAGTCAGCTTTCGTATGATATTGTTTCTAGCACCCACTTTTTGCTTGATGTTCAGGCAGTGCTTCTTGTAGGTCAGAGCACGGTCCAGAGTGACTCCCAGGTATTTGGGTGCGCTGCAATGCTCCAGTGGGATTCCTTCCCAGGTAATCCTCAGAGCTCGGGATGCTTCTCTGTTCTTGAGATGAAAGGCACATGTCTGTGTTTTAGATGGGTTAGGGATCAGCTGGTTTTCCCTGTAATAGGCAGTAAGAGCACCTAGAGCTTCGGAGAGCTTCTGTTCAACCATCTCAAAGCTCCCTGCTTGAGTGGTAATGGCACGATCATCAGCATAGATGAAACTCTCTGTCCCTTCTAGCAGTGGCTGGTCATTTGTGTAGATGTTGAACATGGATGGAGCAAGCATGCTCCCCTGAGGTAGGCCGTTCTTCTGATTCCGCCATCTTCTTCTCTGGCCCTGGAACGCAACAAAAAAGCTCCTGTTTTGTAGCAGGTTTCCTATGAGGCGGGTGAGGTGGTCGTCCTTTGTGATATTATACATTTTTCTCAGGAGGAGGCGACAAGGAGATTAAAATACAAAAGTTTAATTTGTTTAATTACGTTTAAGTGGTGGTTGCTAAATTGTAAAAGTGGGGTGTTATTATTATTACTACTACTACTATTATTATGACATTTATATGCCGCCCTTCTCACGCCAACGGGACCTCAGAGCAGCTTACAAGTTATATGTAAATACAATATATGACATAATTAGTACCATACATTCCCATATTGTACTACACCACTATATGGTAATCTATGTAAATAAAAATGTAACATTCGTTTGTGGGTTTAACAGAACTCAAAAACCACTGGACGAATTACCGCCAAATTTGGCCACAAGACACCTACTAACCCAAGGAGTGACCATCACTCAAAAAAACGGATTTTGTCTTTTGGGAGTTGTAGTTGCTGGGATTTATAATTAACCTACGAAGAGCATTCTGAACTCCACGAATGATAGAATTGAACCAAATGTGGCATACAGGACTCCCATGACCAACAGAAAATACTGGAAGAGCTTGGTGGGCATTGACCTTGAGTTTGGGAGTTGTAGTTCATCTACATCCAGAGAGCACTGATGCATCTGGACCAAACTTGGCACGAATACCCCATATGTCCAAATATGAACACAGATGGTGTTTGGAGGAAATGGATCTTGACATTTTGGAGTTGTAGTTACTGGGATTTATAGTTCACCTACAATCAAAGATAACTATAATTTGATTGTAGGTGAACTATAAATCCCAGTAACTACAACTCCCAAATGTCAAGGTGTATTTCCCCCAAACTCCACCAGTTTTCATATTTGGGCATATTGAGTGCTTGTGCCAAGTTTGGTCCAGATCCATCATTGTTTGAGTCCACAGTGCTCTCTGGATGTAGGAACTACAACTCCAAAACTCAAGGTCAATACCCACCAAACCCTTCCAGTGTTTTCTGTTAGTCATGGGAGTTCTGTGGTGCCAAGTTTGGTTCAATTCCATCGTTGATGGAGTTCAGAATGCTCTTTGATTGTAGGTGAACGATAAATCCCAGCAACTACAACTCCCAAATGACAAAATCATAATTTTTTGAGTGATGGTCACTCCTTGTGTTGTGAGACGTTTTGTTGCCAAATTTGGTGTGATTTCGTTCATTGGTTCTTTTGTTTTTAAGGTACTCATTATGCACAGAGCATTTATATATATATAGATTACAATGCATGTGCAAAACGACATAAATACACAAATATATACACACACACAAAACATATACACAGACTGGGCCACAGCAACGCGTGGCAGGGGACGGTTAGTACTGAATACATGTGCAGGCAGGCTTTTGATGAAGTGGAGCAAACTTGCTGTGCCTCCCTCTTCCCAGCCCTTGCAAACAGCCATGCTATTCCGATGGCTTTCCCCTCGCACTACCTGCTTACACTCACCTGGCAAGGTAGGCACATCACTAAGTCGTATGATTGCCGGTCAGCTGACAGTGTTTTTCTTTCTCCCAGGGATTTGAAATGTGAGAACATTTTGCTGGACGAACGTGGCTTCATTAAGCTAACTGGTAAGTCCCTGCCCCAGAGATGCTCTGCATCTCATTCAAGAGATAAAAGTGGACTGTTGTTGTTGTTGTTGTTGTTGTTATTCTCCATCATTTTTTTTGCGTCTGCCAAACTCAGGCTTCCAAGCCAAGCTGCAAGCTATCCTTATTGAAACTCACATGAGAAATCGTTTTAACATTACTGGGTTATTGTAGGTTTTTTCGGGCTATGTGGCCATGGTCTAGAGGCATTCTCTCCTGACGTTTCGCCTGCATCTATGGCAAGCATCCTCAGAGGTAGTCAGGTACCTCACTACCTCTGAGGATGCTTGCCATAGATGCAGGCGAAACATCAGGAGAGAATGCCTCTAGACCAGGGGTAGGGAACCTTTGGCCCTCCAGCTGTGGTGGACTTCAACTCCCACAATTCCTTGAGGCTCGGCATTCGCCCCAAAGGCTTACCTTGGCCCAATGCCGAGCCTCAAGGAATTGTGGGAGTTGAAGTCCACCACAGCTGGAGGGCCAAAGGTTCCCTACCCCTGCTCTAGACCATGGCCATATAGCCCGAAAAAACCTACAATATTAAACTACATTAATTTCACCGTGTAGATCCAATTGGAATCGATCATGGATAGGAATCCATACATAGATAGGAAGCTGCTAGAACAGGTGTGGGCAAACTTGGGCCCCTAGGTGTTTTGGACTTCAGCTCCCACAATTCCTAACACTGGGCTAAAGAGACATTTGGCTGCTTCATCCAGATCTCTGTCTTTGTGTCACCATTCCCCATTGCAATCTCTGTCCTCGAATGGGTCACTAACTGACCGAGTCTTCCTTGCAGATTTTGGGTTCGCCAACCGCTATTCCCTGAAGAACTCCCTGATGAGCACGTTCTGTGGCTCCGTGGCCTACACCGCCCCAGAGATCCTCATGAGCAAGAAGTACAACGGGGAGCTGGCTGACCTATGGAGCCTGTGAGTCACAGAGCACCACTTTATTTACGTATTTATGTATTTATTACGCTTTTATCCTGCCCTTTTCAACCCAAAGGCGACTCAGGGCGGCGTAGAGACTGGCAGCATTAGATGCCGAACACACATAAATACATCATTTAAAACAGGTTAAAAATCACATAATAAAATTCATAATAAAACATTTTAAAATTATAAAAATCAATGACTTCGGGGTTAAAATTATGTCAATTTGCACCGTTTTCCAGTGCCGGGCAAGATAAATAATAGGATGACCCACCTGCACTGGGAGCAAAGCTTCCCTCAATCTGGAGACTATGCTCCCATTGATGCAGCCTAGAATCACATTGGCCTTTCTAGATGCTGCATCACACTCCGGGCTCATGTTCAGCTTGGGGCTGTGGCGCAGCTGGTTGGGAGTCAGCTGCATTAAGGTCACTATTGACCCAAAAAAAAGGTCATGAGTTCGAAACCAGCCCGGGTTGGAGTGAGCGTCCAACCAATTTGTGTAGCTTGCTGTTGACCTTTGCAGCCCAAAAGACAGTTGCATCTGTCAAGTAGGAAATTTAGGTACCACTTATGCAGGGAGGCTAATTTACAATGCCATAAAAATCTCCAGCAAGCATGCAAAGAATGAGGAAGTACTTCATCAGTGTCACAAACGGACGATGACGTGACAGCTCCCCTGGTGGCCAGAAAATTGGAATGCTAAATAGCCTTTGTCTGTCTATGTGTGTTGTGTGTCTATGGCATTGAATGTTTGCCATGTATGTGTACATTGTAATCTGCCCTGAGTCCCCTGCGGGGTGAGGAGAAGGGCAGAATATAAATACCGTAAATAAATAAATAAGTATTAGATGCCAAACACACATAAATACATCATTTAAAATAGGTTAAATCACATAATAAAATTCATAATAAAACAGTTTAAAGTTATAAAAATAAATGACGGGTTAAAATCATGTCCATTTGCATCATTTTCCAGTGCTGGGCAATACAAATAATGATGTACCTGCATGGGATGACCCACCTGCACTGGGAGCAAAGCTTCCCTCGATCTGGAGACTTTGCTTCCATTGATGCAGCCTAGAATTGCATTGGTCTTTCTAGATGCCGCATCACACTCTGGGCTCATGCTCAGTGTCAGGAGTCAATTTCTGACGGCTTGAAGACATCACACATTCCCTCCGTGACATCCTGAGTGAATCATCCTGGTTGAATCAATTTTCTCTCTGACATTTTGAAGCTAGCAGAGGGCGCTGGAAACCTTGTATTGGAACTTGTGAAGCAACAAGTTCTAATAAGGAAACTGAGAAGAGGGGGAGATGGGCAGGAAAGGTGTATAAAAGGAAGTGGTGGTGGGGAAAAGTCAGTAGTGTCTTTCTTTGCTGCCGAGATACAAGCAATATATCCATTTCAAAGCAAAACCGGCTTGTGAGTGGTCATTTAATATTGCTATATAGATCCTACAGTCTTACACTCAGATTGTGGTCTCTGAAGACTCCTAGAACCCTTTCCCATGGGACTGTTGTTGCACAAATGCATCTGTGCATTTCATTTTTATTATCTAAGCAAAGTGCCACACAGTTTCCCCTGTTGAAATTCGTTTTGGCCAATCCGCCCTCTCATCTGTGAAGGTCAGTTTGGATTCTGACCAGGGGAACCAACTTGCCTTTTAGCAACGACCTGTGAGGACAGGACAAGAGTCACACCTGTGCACTTCAGTTTACTGTGCTTACAAGGTTAGTTTTGGCATGTCCCTGCTTTGGAGAAGTAAAAATATAATGGGATGAAGAGGTGTAGCAATTAACGTGCGTTAATTACGAGGGTTGAATGAAAAGTAATGCCTCCACCTTCGTTACTTGGGTTTGGATGGGAATATTTTAATAAATCAAATGCAGAAATAATCCTTAGAATGTGCTCTTTAATGACCACTATTCACTGTTCCACATAATCACCAGACAATTGGATACATTTCTGCCAACGAAGCCGTCACAGAAAAAGTCGACACTCTATTTCCGCAACCAGCGTCTCACAGTTCATTCAACATCTTCATCAGATCTTCTTTCATTATCAGGAACAGATGGAAATCAGGCGGTGCTAAATCTTGACTGTATGGAGGATGCCGTACGGTGGTGAGATCCAGCCTCTGAAGTTTCAAGTCTGTGCGCTTTCATTTCAGGCATCAGCATCCTGGGTACCCATCGTGCACAGATCTTCCGATAGCCAAGCAAAGCAATAATGTGACCCTCATGCTCTTGTGAAATGTTGGTTGTGCTTGAAATTTTCTCTGAGTGATACGACAATTGTCCTGAATCAATCTGTTCAGCTTTTGCTTGTGAAACTCGGTGGTTGCTGTCACAGGATGTCCAACTCTTTCTTTGTCATGCAAGTCAGATGTTCCCACTTCATCTAATGGTGGTTGATATGTCGATGTGGTGGCAGTTGATGTGTTGATGTGAGTACTCGTCCAAGGACGCACAGTACTCACATCAACACAATCACCCTAAACAGCTTGCATTCTCTGATGAATCTCCTTTGGGGTGACACCTTCTGCTTCAAGAATTCAATGATTGGACGTTGCTTAAGTCGCATAGACGAACCGTCTGTGCGGGGTTCCATACTCCGCACTTTAACAACACAACCGTTCAATGCTAAGGCTTCCCTCCGAAATGGAACTGTAGAGGAGAGTCAACTGAGCAAGCCAGTACCTGCTGCATACCAGTTCTGCCATCTGTTGAGGACTTACGAAGGTGGAGGCATTACTTTTTCTGCTAAGGCTTCCCGCCAAAATGGAACTGTAGAGGAGAGTCTACCGAGCAAGCCAGTACCTGCCGCATACCAGTACTGCCATCTGTTGAGGAGTTACGAAGGTGGAGGCATTACTTTTTCTGCTAAGGCTTCCCGCCAAAATGGAACTGTAGAGGAGAGTCTTCTGAACAAGCCAGTACCTGCCGCATACCAGTACTGCCATCTGTTGAGGAGTTACAAAGGTGGGGGCATTACTTTTTCTGCTAAGGCTTCCTGCCAAAATGGAACTGTAGAGGAGAGTCTACTGAGCAAGCCAGTACCTGCCGCATACCAGTACTGCCATCTGTTGAGGAGTTACGAAGGTGGAGGCATTACTTTTTCTGCTAAGGCTTCCTGCCAAAATGGAACTGTAGAGGAGAGTCTACTGAGCAAGCCAGTCCCTGCCGCATACCAGTCCTGCCATCTGTTGAGGAGTTACGAAGGTGGAGGCATTACTTTTTCTGCTAAGGCTTCCTGCCAAAATGGAACTGTAGAGGAGAGTCTACCGAACAAGCCAGTACCTGCTGCATACCAGTACTGCCATCTGTTGAGGAGTTACGAAGGTGGAGGCATTACTTTTCATTCAACCCTTGTATAATGCAAAAAAGGAGTCATTTGCCCAATATCAGCCCTAGAATCCTAGAGCCAGAAGGGTCCTCCAAAGGGCCATCCAGTCCAACCCCCTTGTGCCAGGCAGCAAGACACGATTCAAGCCCTCCAGCCTCTTCTTAAAAGCCTCCAGAGAAAGGAGACTCCACCAGATTCTCAGGCAGGATATTCCACACCTGAACTGCTCTTCCTGTCAGGAAGTCCTTCCCAATGTTGGCATATATTGTTGGGGTGTAATATTGGTATGTTTTGACCTGGAACCCCCTTCCCTTCCTCTGCGCAGTGGGGTGATCCTCTACGCCATGGTGACAGGGAAGCTCCCCTTCAAGGAGCGCCAGCCGCACAAGATGATCCACGTCATCCGGCAGGGACTCGCCTTCCGGCAGCCCATCTCTCCAGGTACGGACCTTGTAGAGCAGGCACGGGCCAGCTTGGGCCTTCTTCCAGGTGTCTTGGACTTCAACTCTGTCCCACTGAAAATGCGCCCTTGTCTTGAATACTTTTTGAACCTTAAAATGTTCTTTAATCCACCTCACTACCTCTGAGGATGCCTTTAGCCATAGATGCAGGCGAAACGTCAGGAGAGAATGCCTCTAGAACATGACCATATAGCCCGAAAAAACCTACAACAACTTCAGTGGGACCGTTTGCATTAGGCACTTTCAGAGACAGAAGTAGGTACACAGACTCCAGTACTGGGTTTGATAACAACTATATTGGTTACACAGGCAAAAGCGGGGAGACATCACATATACTCGTAACATTCACGCACAACCCATTCATTCAATCGTTCATACTCAACATCCTTCTTCATTCTGTCCATCAGGTTTCTTGGGAGAAGGCAAGTGTTCAGATTCTGCATTCCTTCTAGATCTGACACACGTTCTGAAGAGAAAAGGGTCTCCTTAATAGCAGCAAGTTTTTTTGCTGCTATTGTTCTCCTGATTGGGTTGTTGTAGGTTTTTTCGGGCTGTATGGCCATGTTCTAGAGGCATTTTCTCCTGACGTTTCGCCTGCATCTATGGCAAGCATCCTCAGAGGTAGTGAGGTCTGTTGGAACTAGGAAAAAGGGTGTGGAATGACCAGGGTGGGACAAAGGACTCTTGTCTGCTGGAGCTAGGTGTGAATGTTTCAACTGACCACCTTGATTAGCATTTGATTGCCTGGCAGTGCCTGGAGCAATCTTTTGTTGAGAGGTCCTTGTTTGTTTCCTCTCTGTTGTTGTGCTGTTTTTTAATACTGGTAGCCAAATTTTGTTCATTTTCATAGTTTCCTCCTTTCTGTTGAAATTGTCCACATGCTTCTTGTGGATTTCAATGGCTTCTCTGTGTAGCCTGACATGGTGGTTGTGAGAGTGGTCCAGCATTTCTGTGTCCTCAGATAATCTGCTGTGTCCAGGTTGGTTCATCAGGTGCTCTGCTATGGCTGACTTCTCTGGTTGAAGGAGTCTGCAGTGCCTTTCGTGTTCCTTGATTCGTGTTTGGGCAACGCTGCTGTGTTTGGTGGTCCCTATGTAGACTTGTCCACAGCTGCATGGGATACATTGGTAGACTCCTGCAGAGGTGAGAGGATCCCTCTTGTCCTTTGCTGAACGGAGCATTGGTTGGATTTTCTTGGTGAGTCTGGAGATAGTTTGTATGATCTGCCCAGAGGGAAAGTGTTCTTGCCAGACATCAAGGGAACCACTGACCGCAGAGGGAAGCTGATGAGGAAACACAACTGCGAAAGAGCTCGGGCTCCAAATTCGGTAAGGGAGGTCTCAGGAGAGAGAAGTTACGATTTATTATTTATTATCCTTAATGGTGCCACCAATTCGGTGATGTGAGGTAATTTTGGGAGATTGGGCACACTAAACGCAGAATTAATGGAGATGAGGCAGTTTTACAATCAAAGAGAACAAGTTTATTTTGAAACAAAGCGTATGGTTGCAGTTTGGTGATAAACTTGGAAAATACTTGGAGAACGTTACATATAACTTGGTTGCGATACAGTTCAGTCTTCTGATGTTACAACTTATAAATAACCTTTGCTGTGGTGAAGCACTTTATTAAACAATGGTTCCTGAGGTGAATAGTCTTCCTGTTTGACCCTTCCGTGATCAAACCTCAGATCTCTAGTTCACTTTTAACTAGTGATCTAAACGAGCTTCTATTAGTCTTCTCTAACTAATAAAACTAATAAGGTTTCCCCTTCAGCTTTCCCGAACTGAAGAAACCTCCGACTATTCACAAACACTGCTTCTCTACTTCCCACTCTCTCTCTCTCTCAACTCTTCACTTCCCTGAGCCTAAACCTAACTCTTCATTCCTCTGAGCCTCAACCCTGACTCTTCATGACTGTGCACTCTTCTGAGCCTAAACCCTAACTCTTCATGACTCTTCACTCCTCTGAGCATAAAACCTAACTAACTTTTAACTGTCGCTTTTCAAAACTCCCCTCTCTAAGCTCCTCCCACTTCTCTACAGCATTGTTTCCATGGTAACACACTCCTCACAGCTAGGCCGCTCCAGCATTAGGGCAACCAGTGTAAACACAAATACAGTTATAATAATATCATTTACAATCAATACAGTTTATAATCATATCATTTACAATCAACTTCTGTACAACAACATACAAACTATCAACAGACCCACCAAGAACATCCAACCAATGCTACGTTCAGCAAAGGACAAGAGGGATCCTCTCACCTCTGCAGGAGTCTCCTGTATAGGCTTTATAGGTCAAGACCAGCACTTTGAATTGTGCTCGGAGCGGCTTGCAAGAACAAACAAAAATCTAACACAAATTAAACAACATATCAAAGATCAAAAGTATAGGGCTTTATAGGCCAAGGCCAGCACTTTGAATTGTGGTCGGAAATGGACCGGCAGGCAGTGAAGTTGACGTAACAGGGGGGTGGTATGCTCCCTGAATGACACTCCAATGAGCAGTCTGGCTGCCGGCCGTTGGACTAGTTGCAGTTTCCAAACAGTCTTCAAAGGCAACCCCATGTAGAGTGCATTGCAGTAATCTATTCGGGATGTAACCAGAGCGTCTTCATCCTTGCCAGACCTTAATAGGACCTTGGACGGTCCCGAATCATACAATTTCATTCAATCCACAATCTTTGGATTTGGCTGGTCAACTAATTCCCAATCCACCAAAGAGTCTGTTCCACATGTTAATTGTCTGGTGAAGGGGAGGTGTAGCACAGGCCTTCCCTTCACCAGGGAAGGGATTGTTCCCTGGCTGTTAGGAATTGTGGGAGTTGAAGTCCAAAACACCTGGAGGACCCAAGTTTGCTCATGTCTGATGCAGCAAGAGTGTGGGACCTCCCTTGCCTGCTCAAGGACTCCCCCATTGATTGATCCCCCTGGAGTAGTGGTTCTCAACCTGGGGTCCCCAGATGTTTTTGGCCTTCAACTCCCAGAAATCCTAACAGCTGGTAAACTGGCTGGGATTTCTGGGAACTGTAGGCCCAAAACATCTGGGGACCCCAGGTTGAGAACCACTGCTCTGGAGCTACATGAGTGCGTCCTCACCTGCTGTTCTTCTCCCCTCTTCTCCAGAATGCCAGAACCTCATTGAGAGCTTGCTCCAGCTGAAGCCAGCTGCCCGCTTGGGGCTGCAGCAGGTGGCCACGCACCGCTGGATGCTGCCGGCCACATCGGCCATCTTCCACCGGGTGATGAGTTCCATGGGGGTCCACCCCTCCGAGTGCAAGATGAGCCAGGAGAAGTCACAGCTGAGCCCAGGTATGGAGCACACAGCCATCCATCTCCAGCAGGTTTTCTATGGCTGACAGGGATTTGGGCCCCGGTCCTCTGCAGCCCTTGTCATGAATTCATTTTGAACCTTAAAAGTGTGTTTTAATCCATTTTCAGTGGAACAGAATACATCAGGAACTTTCAGATAAGTTATACACACAGACTCCAGTACTAGGGTTTATAATAGCTACATTGGTTATGTTGCAGAATATACGTTACCCGAGATCATTAGAGTACAATCAGGAAGGAAGAGGACGGAGACAGCAATCGATTCTCAGACCTTTACTATCAAGCAAGATAGGGTGTACAGATCAAAAAGACTGTCACAACTTTGAAGTAGCAATTGCTCCAGTTTTTATAGCATAAAGTCACTTGTTTACACATGCGCAGAAAGGATCTGACATTTACACAGTACAATTATTAACAGGTGTTCCCATGTATAGTTGCCACGGACATTTTTATCAGGTCTTGGCAGCCACATTGTGATCCCAAACATCTGCCCGATTATGTAACTTATCCCAACCTTCACCCATTACCCTAAGATGACATGTATAAGTTCAATTGCTTAAAACTCTAATTGAATTATAACTTATATATACTTATAACATAAGATTTGATCAAGGCAATCTCCTTTTCGTTAAATTCAGCCTTAATAACTTCATTATAACTTATTTCTTATATGAATAATCATGAAGGAAAAACATTAGGATGAAGCTCTTCTAAAATTGCCTGCTATTTACATTCAGTAGTCAGAGGATGGCACTCTCTCACCATATGACCTTAGATGTTCCAAGTTTTGGATCGATACTATCGATCTCTTTGTCCTGCCAAACTTCTCTTGTTGACTTCTTATCTACGTAAACATCGGCTAGAACAACCTGACCCAAAGTTCAGTGTCAATCAATATCATCTGCAGGTTTTTCATGCTTGCAAATTAGCTCATTAGAAATGGTCTTCTCAGAATCAGGTAGGAACATGAATCTTCTATTTTATTCTAAATTATTATGATTTCCCTTTATTATTATTTTATTTTCTCCTATCTGCCGCCACAGTTACACAGGCAAAGGGAATCATTACCTATACTCAGCATTCACTCCACATACATTCAACATTCATACTCACCATCTGTTGGAACTCAGCCTGTGATTGTGTTTAAGGACCAGGGTGCTTTAGATTTGGGGAGTGATGACAATTAGTTTCAAGAAGGTAATGGTCTGGTCAATGATATTGACGCAGAGAATGACCAGGAGACCCCTGTTCAAAGTGTAGTTTCTCATGAGAATGTCCCTGAAGGATGTGGGGATGATGGTGTGCTCCCTGAATTGCTACCAGAGAATTCCCATGATTTGGAGCTTGAGAACAGCTCGGCACCTGGCCCAGCTGCAGAAATTAATATGCAAACAGATAGACAGGTTGTGATTAGTCAAAACAGGCAAGCAGCAGAGCAGTTGCTTCGGCGTTCTGCCAGGCTCAGAGAAAGAAAGATAAGAGATTCAAAGCTAAAGCGAAACCAATTTTTGAGCACTTGGGACATAGCTTAACGAGGAAGGAGATTCTATCTGAACATGAGGAAGAACTTCCTGACTGTGAGAGCCGTTCAGCAGTGGAACTCTCTGCCCCGGAGGTGTGGTGGAGGCTCCTTCTTTGGAAGCTTTTAAACAGAGGCTGGATGGCCATCTGTCAGGGGTGCTTTGAATGCAATATTCCTGCTTCTTGGCAGAATGGGGTTGGACTGGATGGCCCAGGAGGTCTCTTCCAACTCTAGGATTCTATAATCCTATGATTCTATGAGGAGATAAAAGTCCCAAGTACAGGATCTGTAGTCAGATGAAGCATCGTTTGGAATCAAGTCAAGATCTCGTTCCTGTTGCTTGGAAGCTTTGCTTGGAAAAGATTCATGTTTAAAGTGCCTTTTTTCATGGTTTTGGTTCTTGGATTCTATGATTTTGTATTCACTTGCCTTGGATTCATGTTTCCAGATTTCTTGGATTTTGTTATAGAAGTTTCTGCCTTGTTTTTTCATGGACTTTGATAGACTAATTCCCTGGACTATTTGGTTCCGGCTTATCTTCCTACGTAATTGGATTTACCTATTCTTTTAAAGTGTGTTTTACTTTTACTGCTTTTAAATTATCTTCAATAAACGGATTGCATTTCTACTCAACTGTGTAGTGTTTAAAGTCAGAGGGCTTTTCCTGGTCTGGAGTGCAACACCATCCCTCTGTATTATAAAAGAATACAACAGGTATGAAAGAATAGAACAGGTATGAGCCAACTTCGGCTCTCCCTCCAGGTGTTTTTTATTTTAACTCCCACAATTGTGAGAGTAGAAGGCCAAAACACCTGGAAGGAGAGCCGAAGTTGGCCCATACCTGTGTTATTCTTTTCACTATGTGCTATCTGTCCCTTTGCAGGTGAGACAGGCGGCTCTATCTCGCAGCTCCCCGGTCTGGATGGCCCGGCTAAGACAACCGAGGGTCCATCCAAGGATCCCAAGCCATTGTCGGCACCGGCCCCGCGTGCTGCCTCAGCCTCTGGCGCCTTCCCGACCCGTCCCAAGACGGAGAAGAAGAGCTCTGACTCACCGGCGTCAGCAACGACAGTGCCAGCAATGTCGCTGACGGCTCACGGCCTGCTCCAGCTGCCCTCCCCGCGCAAGACGGAGCGCCCGCCGCGGCTGTCCCTGTACCGGCCCAGCCTGCTGACCACCCTGCAGCCCTTCCACCACCTGCCCCACTTCCGCAAGCCCGGCTCTGCCTTCTCCACCAGCGCTTATGTGGCCAGCAAGCGCATGGCGGCTGGGGAGAAGGGGCCGGTGCGGTCGGCAGCGGCGGTGCTGGGCGGCGGAGGCGGGAGTGGGTCGGCCAGCCTCTCCAAGCAGGTGCACTCCCTGTACACCATGACGCCGTGCCCGTGACCCACGGACCGGCCCCACGTCACCTCGGACTCATGCGCGGCTCCGGCGGTGGGGCTGAGACGGAGCCGAAGGACAAGAGGCAGCGAGCAATATTAAATATTATTCAGAGTCCCACCCGGGCTGCCTGCTGAATGGGGGCAGCTTTCTCTAAGGCACCTGCCGCGGACGAGAGACGTCTCAGGTGTTGCCGTTGGCCAGCTTTGCAGTTCTATTTCTATATCCTTGCTCTGTGTGGCGGCCTCGCACCCTCCTGCTCTTGCCATCTCTGCCACTTAACTAGCCAAACCTATTGTCCCCATATTTTAAAAAAGAGCAGGGGAAAAGAAGAGCCAAATACTAGGAAAGATTCTGGAAGCAAATCATTAAAGAGACTGTAACCACTTAGAAAGGAATGTCATACTCACCAAGAGTCAACACGGGTCCCTCAAACACAGGTCATGCCAGACTAATCGTATTTCTTTTTTTCAGTGAGAGTTTACAACCTTGTTAAGATGAAGGGAATGCGGTGGGTGTCGTAGCATCTCTCTCTTTCATTCACGCCTTTCACAAGATGATCTTCTTGCAAAGAGAGCTACGCAATGCTCCTGTGAGGTGGGCTGGGAACAGGGTGATGGACCGAAACCAAAGGGTGCTCCTGTCCAACGGCTCCCTTCCTCCTCTTGGAGAGAAGAAGGGACTAGTCGGGTGTCAAAGAGGGGCTCCATGTTGGTGTCATGTAAATCACCCGTCGTTCATGTTTTATCAGTTCACACACTGTCTTGCTAGAGAAAGAAAATATGCCACACAGATGATCAGTCAAGAACAAGTACCGTATTTCCCAGCATATAACTTTCTAACCCTGGAAAATCTTCTGGAAAGTTGGAGGTGGTCTTATACACCGGGTATAAAAATGGGAGGCATAAAAAATGCCTTAGCGGGCACGTCCAAGGCATGCCGCCGCCCAGGGCTGCTGGGAGTCGTAGTCCAGAGGCTCTTACTTGGGCCTGGGTGTTGTCACATTGCCAGGGCTCTGCCTTATTTAGGTAGAGATGAATCAAACTCCCAGTTTTATCAAACAGTTTTATTAAAACAGCACTTACTTGCTGGCTGTTTTAATAGACCAAACATAAAACGTAAAGATAGCAAAAACAACTTGGTAGTCAAAAGGGTCCAGTCCATTGGTCAAATGCTGAGAGTTCAATAAACAAACTCCAGGGATCAAGAGTCTATACCGTAGTCAAAAGCCAGTCCAAAGGTTCAAGGTTCCAAGAGACAGGTCAGGATACCGAAAAATCCAACAGACCTGGAGGGGGGGGGGGGACCAGCAGCATCCACCACCAAAATACAACAAGGACTAGTCGGGTGTCAAAGAGGGGCTCCATGTTGGTGTAATGTAAATCACACATTGTTCACTGTTTTGCCAGAGAAAGAAAATATGCCACGCAGATGCAGGGGCGGCTCAACCCATTATGCAAAGTAAGCCTTTGCAGTATAGTTGATGTTGCCCAGGGGCGCTCTTGAGGCGCTCTTGGGGGAAAATAGACCTTGACATATGCGAGTTGTAGTTACTGGGATGTATAGTTCACCTACAATCAAAGAGCATTCTGAACTCCACCAATGATGGAATTGAACCAAATATGGCACACAGAACTCCCATGACGAACAGAAAATATATATCTGTGATTGGTTGGGGGGGGGGGGGCAAAATACTGTTTGCTTACCGTTGAAAAATAAAGAGCAAAAATAGTAAAAACTTCCAACTCCAAATGTGTCAATAATCCACAAGGTTCCGGGTGCAAGAATAATCAAGAGTCCCAAGGCAGCAAGGCATCCACAACAGAAATAGAAGAAAACCCAAGAAACATAGAATCCAATACAGAAATACAGGAACAATCTGGTGCTTGGGAACAAAGGCATGAAACTACGAGGGTTGAATGAAAAGTAATGCCTCCAGCTTTGTAACTCAACAGATGGCAGTACAGTGTTCCCTCGCTACTTCGCGGTTCGCTTATTGCGGACTTGCTGTTTCGCAGATTTCAAAAAATATTAATTTAAAATATATATCATGGTATTTTTGCTGTTTTGTGGGGTTTTGCCGCCGCCGCTCTCCGAGGCACTTTCCCTCCTCAGTCCTGCCTCCCTCCAGCCTTGAAGGGCCTTTCCTTCCTTTCCTTCACTTTATTTTAAGTTTATAAAGACTTAAAATAGTGCATAACTACTAAAATAATGTATAAATATTAAAATAAATAGAGTATCCCTATATCGCGGTTTTTTACTTATTGCGGGAGGTCCTGGTACCTAACCCCAGCAATAATGAGGAACACTGTACTGGTATGCGGCAGGCACTGGCTTGTTCAGTAGACTCTCCTCTACAGTTCCATTTTGGTGGGAAGCCTTAGCATTGAGCGCTTGTGTTGTTAAAGTGCAAAGTATGGAACCCTGCGCAGACGGCTGGTCAATGCGACTTAAGGAATGTGCAGTCATTGAATTCTTGACAGCAGAAGGTGTCACCCCAAAGGAGATTCATCAGAGAATGTAAGCTGTTTATGGGGATTGTGTTGATGTGAGGACTGCGTCGTTGGGCAGGTAAGTTTAAAGATGTTGAGGTGGGAACATCCGACTTGCGTGACAAACAAAGAGTTGGACGTCCTGTGACAGCAAACACCGAGTTTCACAAGCAAAAGGTTGACAGATTGATTCAGGACGATTGTCGTATCACTCAGTGAGAAATTTCAAGCATAATCAGCATTTCACAAGAATGTGTGGGTCACATTATTGCTTTGCTTGGCTATCAGAAGATCTGTGCACAATGGTTACCCAGAATGAGAGAACTGTGAGAGGCTGGTTGTGGAAACAGAGTGTCGACTTCTTCCGTGACGGCTTCAGAAAACTTGCTAATTGTTGGCAGAAATGTATCCAATTGTCTGGTGATTATGTGGAAAAGTGAATAGTGGTAGTTAAAGAGCACATTCTAGGGATTATTTCTGCGTTTGATTTATTAAAATATTCCCATCCAAACCCAAGTAACGAAGGTGGAGGCATTACTTTTCATTCAACCCTCGTAGAATGTGTACAGGCTTGACAAGAGCTGTTGTCTCCATTATCAATGTGGGACCAGACTGCTGGTCACTGCCAATTCATTTCAAATTCATTAGATTCACTGCCAATTCATTTCATCATCTGCGAAGATGAGGGGCAGCGATACCTCCAATGCCAGGTATCGCTGCCCCTCATCTTTGCAAGGTGGGCACTGTTCTCCCAGAACTTCTGCAGCATGCAACCTACTGGATTCCTCCTCCTCCTTCTGGTCCAGGCGCTGCAGCTCTTCCTCCACCTTCGTGGGGATCTCCACCTCCAGCAGGTTCTCCATCCCGGACGGAGGCTCCTCGGCAATCAGGACCTGCAGGAGAAAACAGACCCAAGGCTTTGGAAGCGGGACAAATGGGCAGCCATCGTTCCCCAAACACCACCATCGCAGACCCATATGCTGCAAGTGGTGTCAGTGGCATAGGAAACATCTCAAGGTGAATCAGGGAATTCCACCAAATCCCAAACTTGATTCTTGGATTTTATGACTGCATGCCATGGATTAATGTTTCCTGGTTTTCTGGATTGTATTAGAGAAGTGTGGACGTTGTTTTCATGGGCTTTGTGGGAGTTCAAAACACCTGGAGGGCCCAAGGCTGCCCACGTCTGATATAGGCCATTGGCACCTCATGGATGGATTAGCCCAAGAAATGACGTTTGGGCTTGTCACGATGATCCAACCGGACATGTTGTACTCGGTCCAGCCCCCACCCTAAGCAATTAACCATTCAATACCCTATGACACATGTCATAGAATCATAAAGGTGGTGGGCCATCCAGTCCAACCCCATTTTGCCAAGAAACAGGAAAATTGCCTTCAAAGCATTCCCGACAGATGGCCATCCAGCTACTGTTTCAAAGCCTCCAAAGAAGGAGCCTGCACCACACTCCAGGGCAGAGAGTTCCACTGCTGAACAGCTCTCACAGGAAGTTCTTCCTAATGTTCAATCCCCTTTCCTGTAGTTTGAAGCTATTACTCCATTGTGTCCTTGTCTCCTTGTGGACAACAAGTTAAACATGAGCCAGGAATGTGATGTGGCGGCAAAAAAAAGCCAATGGGATTTTGGCCTGCATCAATAGGAGCCTAGTGTCTAGATCTAGGGAAGTCATGCTCCCCATGCTCTATTCCGCTTTGGTTAGACCACTTTACCTGGAATATTGTGTCCAATTCTGGGCACCACAATTGAAGAGAGATATTGACAAGCTGGAATGTGTCCAGAGGAGGGCGACTCAAATGATCAAGGGTCTGGAGAACAAGCCCTATGAGGAGCGGCTTAAGGAGCTGGGCATGTTTAGCCTGAAGAAGAGAAGGCTGAGAGGAGATATGATAGCCATGTATAAATATGTGAGAGGAAGCCACAGGGAGGAGGGAGCAAGCTTGTTTTCTGCTTCCCTGGAGACTAGGATGAGGAACAATGGCTTCAAACTACAAGAGAGGAGATTCCATCTGAACATGAGGAAGAACTTCCTGACTGTGAGAGCCGTTCAGCAGTGGAACTCTCTGCCCCGGAGTGTGGTGGAGGCTCCTTCTTTGGAAGCTTTTAAACAGAGGCTGGATGGCCATCTGTCAGGGGTGATTTGAATGCAATATTCCTGCTTCTTGGCAGAATGGGGTTGGACTGGATGATGGCCCAGGAGGTCTCTTCCAACTCTGGGATTCTATGATTCTATGAACTCAATTACTATCTCGGTCACTCCTGACACAACAAAAAAAATTCTCCTCTCAGCCTTCTCTTCTTCAGGCTAAACATGCCCAGCTCTTTAAGCCGCTCCTCATAGGGCTTGTTTTTCAGAACCTTGATCCTTTGAGTCACCCTCCTCTGGACACATTCCAGCTTAAGGTCAACATCTCCCTTCAATTGTGGTGCCCAGAATTGGACACAGTGTGATTCCAGGTATGGTCTAACCAAGGCAGAACAGAGCATGGGGAGCATGACTTCCCTGGATCTAGACACTAGGTTCCCCTCACATCTGTATACATGGCGCTCCTCATGTCTCCTCTCAGCCTTCTCTTCTGCAGGCTAGACATTCCCAGCTCTTTAAGCCGCTCCTCATAGGGCTTGTTCTCCAGACCCTTGATCATTTGAGTCGCCCTCCTCTGGACACATTCCAGCTTGTCAATATCTCCCTTGAATTGTGGTGCCCAGAATTGGACACAATATTCCAGGTGTGGTCTAACCAAAGCGGAATAGAGCATGGGGAGCATGACTTCCCTAGATCTAGACACTAGGCTCCTATTGATGCAGGCCAAAATCCCATTGGCTTTTTTTGCCGCCACATCACATTGTTGGCTCATGTTTAATTTGTTGTCCACAAGGACTCCAAGATCTTTTTCACACGTACTGCTCTCGAGCCAGGCATCCCCCATTCTGTATCTTTGCATTTTGTTTTTTCTGCCAAAGTGGAGTATCTTGCATTTGTCACTGTTGAACTTCATTTTGTTAATTTGTCGAAGGCTTTCATGGCCGGAATCACTGGGTTGTTGTTATAGGTTTTTTCAGGCTATATGGCCATGTTCTAGAGGCATTCTCTCCTGACGTTTTGCCTGCATCTATGGCAAGCATCCTCAGAGGTAGTGAGGTCTGTTAGAACTAGGAAAATGGGTTTATATATCTGTGGAATAATAACCAGGGTGGGACAAAGGACTCTTGTCTGCTGGAGCTCGGTGTGAATGTTTCAACTGACCACCTTGATTAGCATTTGATTGCCTTGCAGTGCCTGGAGCAATCTTTTGTTGAGAGGTGATTAGATGTCCTTGTTTCCTCTCTGTTGTTGTGCTGTTGTAATTTTAGAGTTTTTTAATACTGGTAGCCAGATTTTGTTCATTTTCATGGTTTCTCCTTTCTGTTGAAATTGTCCACATGCTTTTGGATTTCAATGGCTTCTCTGTGTAGCCTGACATGGTGGTTGTTGGTGTGGTCCAGCATTTCTGTGCTCTCAAATAATATGCTGTGTCCAGGCTGGTTCATCAGGTGCTCTGCTATGGCTGACTTCTCTGGTTGAAGTAGTCTGCAGTGCCTTTCATGTTCCTTGATGCGTATTTGGGCAATGCTGCTGCGTTTGGGGGTCCCTATGGAGACTTCTTGTCCACAGCTGCATGGTACACGGTAGACTCCAAACACATCATTGCCCAAACACAGCAGATTTTGGACACAGCAGATTATTTGAGAGCACAGAAATGCTGGACCACTCTCACAACCACCATGTCAGGACTACACAGAGAAGCCATTGAAATCCACAAGAAGCATGTGGACAATTTCAACAGAAAGGAGGAAACCATGAAAATGAACACAACCTGGCTACCAGTATTACAAAAACTCTGAAATTACAACAGCACAACAACAGAGAGGAAACAAACAAGGACATCTAATCACCTCTCAACAAAAGATTGCTCTAGGCAATGTCAGGCCATTATATGCTAATCAAGGTGGTCAGTTGAAACATTCACACCTAGCTCCAGCAGACAAGAGTCCTTTGTCCCACCCTGGTCATTCCACAGATATATAAACCCTTTTTCCTAGTTCCAACAGACCTCACTACCTCTGAGGATGCTTGCCATAGATGCAGGCGAAACGTCAGGAGAAAATGCCTCTAGGACATGGCCATATAGCCCAAAAAAACCTACAACAACCCACTCATTGTGTTAGTTTTGGCCAGTCATCTCTCTCATTATGTCGTTGTTGTTCATTCGTTCAGTCGTCTCCGACTCTTCGTGACCTCATGGACCAGCCCACGCCAGAGCTCCCTGTCGGCCGTCACCACCCCCAGCTCCTTCAAGGTCAGTCCAGTCACTTCAAGGATGCCATCCATCCATCTTGCCCTTGGTCGGCCCCTCTTCCTTCTGCCTTCCACTTTCCCCAGCATAATTGTCTTCTCTAGGCTTTCCTGTCTCCTCATGATGTGGCCAAAGTACTTCAACTTTGTCTCTAGTATCTTTCCCTCCAGTGAGCAGTCGGGCTTTATTTCCTGGAGGATGGACTGGTTGGATCTTCTCGCAGTCCAAGGCACTCTCAGCACTTTCCGCCAACACCACAGCTCAAAAGCATCGATCTTCCTTCGCTCAGCCTTCCAATCCTGCTCCTGTCCTCTGGAGTCTTGGCTCTCCCTCCCAATTTGGTGTCGTCTGCAAACTTGATGATCCTGCCTTCTAGCCCTTCATCTAAGTCATGAATGAAGATCCTGATCAGGACCGGGCCCAGGACGGAACCCTTCTGATGGCACTCCACTCGTCACTTCTTTCCAGGATGAAGAGGAGGAAGCCTTGGTGGAGGAATGTCTGGAGAAATGATTATTTATTCCTTCTGCGCATGGCTCAACCACTATCTATTCATACACAATGCCCTGCCCAGGTATTGAATGGTTCCTCTTTCCTCCCAGAAGCCTTTCCTATGAGGAAGCCTTGTCCTCTCCTGCTGCACAGGTCCCCTTCCACACCTGCCTCACCTGGATCACCTTCTCGCAGGCGGCCCGAGCGCCAGGGTCCGCCTCCCACCTGTGCAGCTCCCGCAGGACCAGGTAGGTGCCTTTCTCCCGAACCAGGTGCCGCCCCGGTTTGGTGGCCGTCAGCTGCCGTGGGGAGGAATAAACAAACATAATAATAGAGGGACAAAAGTGGGTTATTTGGTCAGATTGGATGGGTGCCCAATCTCTCCCTGGGCAAAAGGTCTGCATTCCCGAATCCCGAGGGAAAATTGTGGGTGTCAGTGGAGCAAAACTAAAGCCCAAACCTCTGGGAAAGCCCCAGGACCTGAGGGAAGAGGAAAGAATCATTTCACACAAAGAAACCAGTCAAGTGTGGGGCAGACTACACCATTAAGTACAGACATGGGCAAATTTCGGTCCTCCCTCCAGGTGTTTTGGACTTCAACTCCCACAATCCCTAACAGCGGGAAGGACTGGATGGCCGCTGGAGGCCCCATCTACGAGGGTTGAATGAAAGTAATGCCTTCCCCTTCGTAACTGCTCAACAGATGGCAGTACTGGTATGTGGCAGGTACTGGCTTGTTCAGTAGTGTCTTCTCTACAGTTCTATTTTGGTGGGAAGCCTTAGCATTGAATGGTTGTGTTGTTAAAGTGTGAAGTATGGAACCCTGCACAGACGGTCGGTCAATGCAACTTAAGCAACGTCTGCAGCAGGTACTGGCTTGTTCAGTAGACTCTCCTCTACAGTTCCATTTTGGTGAAACCTTAGCATTGAACGGTTGTGTTGTTAAAGTGCAAAGTATGGAACCCTGCACAGACAATCAGTCAATGCGACTTAAGCAACGTGCAGGCAGGTACTGGCTTGTTCAGTAGACTCTCCTCTACAGTTCCATTTTGGTGGGAAGCCTTAGCATTAAACGGTTGTGTTGTTGAAGTGCGAAGTGTGGAACCCTGCACAGACGGTCGGTCAATGCAACTTAAGCAACGTCTGCAGCAGGTACTGGCTTGTTCAGTAGACTCTCCTCTACAGTTCCATTTTGGTGGGAAGCCTTAGCATTAAACGGTTGTGTTGTTGAAGTGCGAAGTGTGGAACCCTGCACAGACGGTTGGCCAATGCGACTTAAGCAATGTATAGGCAAGTACTGGCTTGTTGAGTAGACTCTCCTCTACAGTTCCATTATGGTGGGAAGCCTTAGCATTGAATGGTTGCGTTGTTAAAGTGCAAAGTATGGAACCCTGCGCAGACAGTCGGTCAATGCGACTTAAGCAACATGCAGTCATTGAATTCTTGACAGCAGAAGGTGTCACCTGAAAGGAGATTCATCGGAGAATGCAAGCTGTTTATGGTGATTGTGTTCATGTGAGTACTATGCATCGTTGGGCGAGTAAGTTTAAAGATGTTGAGGTGGGAACATCTGACTTGCATGACAAACAAAGAGTTGGACGTCCCGTGGCAGCAACCACCGAGTTTCACAAGCAAAAGGTTGACAGGGTTGTTGTAGGTTTTTGGGCTATATGGCCATGGTCTAGAGGCATTATCTCCTGACGTTTCGCCTGCATCTGTGGCAAGCATCCTCAAAGGTAGTGAGGTCTGATTGATTCAGGACGATCGTCGTATCACTCAGAGAGAAATTTCAAGCATAATTGGGATTTCACAAGAACGTGTGGGTCACATTATTGCTTTGCTTGGCTATCGGAAGATCTGTGCACGATGGGTACCCAGGATACTGATGCCTGAAATGAATGAAAGCGCACAGGCTTCTTCCGTGCGCTTCAGAAAACTTGTTCATCGTTGGCAGAAATGTATCCTTTTTCTTTTTCTATTTCTAATTCTTTTGTCCTAATTTTTGCCAACAACTCCAGTTGGGCCTTATTTTTTCCTTTGAACCAAATCGAGTAACCCTCTAATTACTGCTTTTCCAGCCTCCCAAACTATTCCCTCCTTCATTCCTTCTTTAGAGTTGTCCTTTAAGTAATTAATAATTCCCGTTCTAAGTTTCTCTCTATGTGACTTAATTTTCAAAATGTAATCATTCATTCTCCAAGCTCTATTTCTTTTGTATCCCACTCTTAATTTCATTAATATTCGGGTTATGGTCGGCTAATACTCTAGGTCAGCGTTTCTCAACCTGGGGGTCAGGACCCCTGGGGGGGTTCGCGAGGGGGTGTCAGAGGGGTCGCCGAAGACCATCAGAAAACACAGTTTTTCTGTTTGTCATGGGGGTCTCTGTGTGGGAAGTTTGGCCCAATTCTACCATTGGTGGGATTCAGAGTGCTCTTTGATTGTAGGTGAACTATACATCCCAGCAGCCACAACTCCCAAATGTCAAGTCTATTTTCCCTAAATTCCACCAGTGTTGACATGTGGGCATATTGAGTGTTTGTGCCAAATTTGGTCCAGATCCATCATTGTTTGATTCCACAGTGCTCTCTGGAAGTAGGTGAACTACAACTCCCAAACTCCAGGTCAATGTCCACTAAACCCTTCCAGTATTTTCTGTTGGGCATGGGAGCTCAGTGTGCCAAGTTTGGTTCAATTCCATTGTTACTGGAGTTCAGAATGCTCTTTGATTGTAGGTGAACTATAAATCCCAGCAACTCCAACTCCAACATGTCAAGTCTATTTTCCCCAAATTTCACCAGTGTTGACATGTGGGCATAGTTTGGTCCAGATCCATCATTGTTTGAGTCCACAGTGCTCTCTGGATGTAGGTGAACTACAATTCCCAAACTCAAGGTCAATGCCCACCAAACCCTTCCAGTATTTTCTGTTGGTCATGGGAGTTCTGTGTGCCAAGTTTGGTTCAATTCCATCGTTGGTGGAGTTCAGAATGCTCTTTGATTGTAGGTCAACTATAAATCCCAAATGTCAAAACCAATCCTGCACCCTCTCCCCAACCCCACCAGTAGCAACAAAAATAATTTTTGGCTGGGGGTCATCACAGCATGACGAACAGTATTAAGGGGTCGCAGCATTAGGAAGATTGAGAAACACTGCTCTAGGTAATAACTCGATTTTCTGTTTTCCCCACTAGTTCCTTAGTACCAAATATCAAGTCAATTCTTGAGGATGTGCCATGTCTATGTGAATAATATGAATACTCTTTTCTTGTTGGGTTGTGGACCCTCCAAATATCATAAAGTTCCCAATGCTGAATTTCCCTTAGGAAGGATCCCGGGAGTTTGCCTTCCTTTCTGTCCTTTTTTACTTTACTATCTCTATCCTCTTTGGGCACCATGACTCCGTTAAAATCCCCCATCCATAACATTTCCTTTTCACCATATTCTGCTAATATGCGTGTTAGCTTTTTGTAGAATACTTTTTGTTTGTTGTTGGGAGCATACACTCCTACTAATAGTACAGGGTTTTTTTGAATACACACCTTTATTATTAATATTCTACCTTCCTCATCACAAAATATTTTCTCTGGTGTCAGTTCTTTTCTTATATAGAACAGTACTCCATTGGTCTTTTTGTTGTTACATGCTGTGAATAATTGGCGCAACCTTTCTTTTTTTAACAGGTGACTATCCTCATAAATCAGGTGTGTCTCTGTTGCAATCCAGAGCAGGGAACGAGGCCCTAAGATAACTATCCACCACACTTGGCTGTGAAAAACAATCCTTTTTTATTGAAGAAAAATGGTTACAAAATAAAGGAAAAATGCAAGTCAAAAGCCACAGCAAAATCAGCAAACATGAATTTAAATGGACAAAACAAAACCAAAAGCCTCACTGTGAAATACTGGAACCTGTTAGCAATCCACTAACCGTACTTGATATCCTAGAAATCTTCCCAAACTATGGCCAGGGAACCGGGAGAACTGCCAAGGTCTTCATCAATTCTGAAACGATGCCTGAACTGAGACAGTCAGCCCGGCGTAAGGCAGTTAAAACTCAAGAATTGGTTCCGTGAACCGCCCTTCTTTTTTGAAGCCAATGTTTTTAATTCTTGAATTCGGGAGGATCGACGCAAACTGAGTGATTTACTTCTGTCTTCCCAAATTTGGCCCCTTCTGTTGTCATTACAGTGAACAGGTGCAGAAGGGAGGGAAAGTTCAAGGTCTCCCTCTGAAACATTCTCATGAACACTGGTACTTTCATTTTCCAAATCTACAGAAGTTCCTTCCTCACTAATTTCAGGAACATTGGCATTTTCCAAACCTACAGCAGTTTCTTCCTCACTAATTTCAGGAGCATTGGCATCAAAAGGTACATTTCCACTAGCATCAGTAAATATACTTTCATTAGCATCAGGAGGAACAAACAGAGAATCAGGTTCAAGTTCAAACTCAGGCTGAACCCCAACAGTCTCAACCAAACATGCTATGTCTGGTTTGATTTTCTGCAAGTAATGAACCACTTTCTTGCGTTTATAGGGCAGAAATGTATCCAATTGTCTGGTGATTATGTGGAAAAGGGAATAGTGGTAGTTAAAAAGTACATTCTAAGGCAGGGGTGCTCAAACTAAGGCCCGAGGGCCGGATACGGCCCTCCAAGGTCATTTACCCGGGTCAATCTAAGGGTCAATCTAAGTCTGAAACTATTTGAAAGCACACAACAACAACAACAACAATCCTATCTCATCAGCCAAAAGCAGGCCCACACTTCCCATTGAAATACTACTAAGTTTATGTTTGTTAAAATTGTTCTTCAATTTAATTATTGTGTTGTTTTTAAGTGTTTTTTGCATTACAAATAAGATACGTGCAGTGCGCATAGGAATTCATTCCTGTTTTTTTCAAATTATAATCCAGCTCTCCAACCGTTTGAGGGACTGTGATCTGACCTTCTGTTTAAAAAGTTTTGTGGGCCCTGTTCTAAGGATTATTTCTGTGTTTGATTTATTAAAATATTCCCATCCAAACCCAAGTAACGAAGGTGGAGGCATTACTTTTCATTCAACCCTCATAACTCTACGGTTCCATGGCATGTTCTTACCAGCATGATGGCCTCCAGAAGCATCTTGCGGATGTCCGGGTCGGGTTCCCGTTCCTTCTCTGGCGGCAAGTACTGCAGGTCCAGAGGCAGCTCTGGAAAGACGGAGAAGTGGAGATGGAGATGGACACCCCGAACGAGAGCCCATGATGGGAATAGCAACCTTTCAAGCCTCCACTAACTGTTTGTTAATGTATATACCATTGTTAGCTTGCATTCTATGTGTGTTCTGTTGTGTGCTGGGCCTGTAAAGAATTTCCTTTAGAACAGGACGTGCAACCTTTGCCCAGCGGGAAGCCAGGGGGCCCAAGGAGAAGTTCTCAGAGGTTTTCCACCACAAATGATCTTTAGATGGCTTGTGAAGTATAACAAAGTCTTTTATTAATGAACAATCAAACAGAAACTTCTCTTGTCTTCAGAAAGTTAAACAAATGATTCCAGGCTTTTATGCAACTGGTGGCTTCCTAATCTTGCCCGTGAAGGACAGGCAATTGTCTTCAATAACTAATTCTTTGCTTTAAAGGAAAGTCCCCTTTTTTAACTTCTCCCAGGCTGACTGTAATCTAATTCTTACTGATGTGGGCTCCGCTACCGGGTCAAATTGCATCTCGAACGCCGAGTGGACCTACCAGTAAGGCTAGTAGATTCTCCAGCGGGAGTTCTTTGGTCTTTAGGGCTGTTTCCCTGGAAATCTTTGGACACGTCCTGTACATTAACTTTCCTTGACCTGAGACTAACTAAAAAATTGCTCCCTTCCCTTCCCAATTGCCCTGAGCAAGGGGCGGGACCAAAACTTAACAATGATGGACAGGTGACTTGCCCTATGACTGCAACCAAAGGAAGCCACCTTTCTGCAGAGTCCCTGAAACCTAGGACTGCAAGCAAACATTTAATACAAAGCAAATAAAGTTGGAGCTCCTGGTACAGCTGTACCAGCACAATGTGTATGTTGATTTGCCAGTTTGACTTATCTCTTTGATGTGGGAGGAGTTATAGATGTGATTATACTGAGCATTGTGCAAACTCCGGACTCCATTTTGTGTTCGGTTTGCTTTTGGACTTCAATGAGATAGATGTGTTTACTCATGGACTTCAATGGAGTAAGTCTGCTTAAGACTTCATTGGAGGTGGATGTGCGTACTTTCAGACTTTAGTGAGTACAGATAAGCTTAAAGACATTTAAAGACTATGTGACTGTAGACAAGTTTGTTAGTAAACAAAATATGCTATTTTTCAAAGAAGACTACTTAGTTTTGTCTCATAAGTGCATGTCTTATGGGATTGTACATATTTTTGGGCGACAACAAATGACAACTGCAAATTTGACTTCAAACAACCATTTTCCGCTAAGCAGATATATTTTTGTAGTGGCCTGTCTTTCTTCTTGGCCGTGTAAAGACATGGTTCCTCAGTTTAACAGCTGAGCTACCTGTGTGCTATTACATTAATGTTTTATGAATATCACTTATCTTAAGGTCTGACTTCGAACAAGATCATACAATTCTTTTGACTTGTGGTTTTCAGGTGGTCTCTATGTTCACAGAGATTCATATTTTGCCAAATGGAGGCAACATTATTTTTATGGTGCACTGGAATTTCCAACAGATTATGGACTTTCCAATAGCCCAGACCCCTATCCCTTGGAGGTTCAGACCCACAGGCTTGGGATGGCCCCAGAACGGTGGGCTGGCTGCCACCTCCCAGGAAACAGAGCCCTCTGGCCCAAAATGACCACACATTCACAAGTATTGGGGAAGGACTCACTTTCCATCTCATCCTCCGGGAACTCCTCCGGACCGGCCAAAGGGAGGAGGAGAAAGGGCAGCAGGTCCACTTCTTCGCCGAGGAGCCACTCGTGGCACCCTGGGGAAAACAAAAGGGCTCCCATTAGGAGTTGGGTGGCAGTTGTTGAGGCACCAAATAGGTCTAGTTCCAATTCCCAATCAAAAACTAGAAACGAGGAGATCAAAATACAGTGTTCCCTCGCTACTTCGCGGTTCACTTTTCGCGGATTTGCTGTTTCGCGGTTTTCCTTCTTTGCTACTCACCGGGCCGCGTCCTGGTTCTGCCACTGGGACGCAGCCCGGTGAGTAGCGAGCGAGCAAGGGAGGGTGGGTGAGCGAGCAAGGGAGGGCCACAAAGGCAGAAGCAGCCTTTGTGGCCCTCCCTCGCTCACTCACCCACCCTCCCTCGCTTGCTCTGTCACCGGGACCCAGCCTGGTCAGTAGTGAGCGAGCGAGGGAAGGAGGGTCACAAAGGTGGAAGCAGTAGCAGAGGCCTGGAAGAAGTGGCCAGGCTCCTGCTTCTGCCACTGCTCTCTGCCGTTCTCGCTTGCTCACTCACTCACCCTCCCTCACTTGTTCACTCACCAGGACCGGTCCTGGTGGGAGAACCAGGACTCAGTCCGGTGAGTAGCGAGTGAGGGGTGTGGGTGAGTGAGCAAGCGAGAAGGGTAGCAAAGGCGGCAGCGGTTGCAGAAGCAGGAGCTTGGTTGCCTCTTCCAGGCTCCTGCTTCTGCCACCGCTGCCGCCTTCCCTCGCTCGCTCACTCACCAGGATGGATTGCAGCGGCAGAACCAGGACTTGGCCCGGTGAGTGAGCGAGCAATGGAGAAAAGGGTGAGGGAGCAAGTGAGGGAGGGCAGAGAGGGTGGCAAAGGTGGCAGTGGCGGATAATACAGAGTGGTGGATAAGTGGAAGTCGGATAACCGGCGCTCCACTATATATAGCAGTGGTTCTCAACCATCCTAATGGCGTGACCCCTTAATCCTGTCCCACATGTGGTGGTGACCCCCAACCATAATATTGTTTTTGTTGCTACTTCATAACAGTCATTTTACTACTGTTATAAATCATAATGTAAATATCTGATATGCAGGATGCATTTTCATTCACTGGACCAAACTGGGCACAAATACCCAATACACCCAAATGTGAATGCTAGTGGGGTTGGGCGAGGATTGATTTTGTAATTTGGGAGTTGTAGTTGCTAGGATTTATAGTTCACTTATAATCAAAGAGCATTCCGAACTCCACCAGCGATGGATTTGAACCAAACTTGGCTCCCATGACCAATGGAAAACATTGGAAGGGTTTGATGGGCATTGACCTTGAGTTTGGGAGTTGTAGTTCACCTATATCCAGAGAGCACTGTGGACTCATGCAATGGTGGATCTGGACCAAACTTGGCATGAATACTCAATATGCCCAAATGTGAACACTGGTGGAGTCCGGGGAAAATAGATCTTGACATTTGGGAGTTGTAGTTGCTGGGATTTATAGTTCATTACAATCAAAGAACATTCTGAACTCCACCAACGATAGAATTGGCTCAAACTTCCCACATGGAATCCCCATGACCATCAGAAAATACTGTGTTTTCTTATGGTCTTTGGCGACCCCTCTGACACCCCCTCGCGACCCCCTCAGGGGTCCCGACCCCCAGGTTGAGAAACACTGATATCTGGTATGTCTATTTGGCATGTCTATAGTATCTCGTGGGTGGTCCTGGAATGTAACACCCACAAGGAGTGAGGGAACTCTGTACAATAGTTTAATTTGGCAGAAAAACACTAAGGGGTGCTTACAATCAAGTCAGGAAAGTGTTGAGGTGATTGGTGGTGATTTATAGTTTTCCCAATCACACCCTCCCTGGATATTCTGCACATTGGCCACCCCTACTTTTGGGAAACTCACGGTATTCGAAGCAGCAGTTCCGAAGGGTCCCGACGATCCCTCCTCGGCGGATGTCTGATGCCATGAACTGTGTAAACGGAAGCAGCTTCTGAATGATACATCTGTTGGAAGAAAGAGCAGAGGGAGCATTGAGGTGTTGCAGAATGACACTCTTCCCTTGGAAGGGGAACCTGAAAACCCTCAACTTGCATCATTACAAAGCACAGAAAAGGTTTGGGAAAACTAACAGCTGCTGGTTGCTCAACACAAGCTCAACACAAAAACAGGAACTCTAATCCAGATTATTATTATTATTATTATTTGAAACACAACAAGGTGAGTCCACAGCAGACAAGATCGCTCTGCTGGCTGTTGTATTGGATCACACGTCGGACACTTCCCAACTGTCTAGGATTGTGTGATGTATCAGCGAATAATGCGTGCAGATCCCAGTCAGGTGGCCTTCTGCAGCTGGCAGGTGGTAATTTTGTCAGTGCAGATTGTGTTTAAGTGCAGGCCAAGGTCTTTAGGCACTGCACCCAGTGTGCCGATCACCCCTCACCACTGGGACCCCTTTTACTGGCTTGTGCCAGAGTCTTTGTACTTCAATCTTTAAATCCTCATATCATCTCAGCTTTAGAACCTTAAGAACAGAGAAGCATCCTGAGCTCTGAGGATTACCTGGGAAGGAATCCCACTGGAGCATTGCAACACACCCAAATACCTGGGAGTCACTCTGGACCGTGCTCTGACCTACAAGAAGCACTGCCTGAACATCAAGCAAAAAGTGGGCGCTAGACACAACATCATACGAAAGCTGACTGGCACAACCTGGGGATCACAACCAGACACAGTGAAGACATCTGTCCTGCTGCTGAGTATGCATGCCCAGTGTGGAACACATCTCACCACGCTAAAACAGTGGATGTGGCTCTTAATGAGACATGCCGCATTATCACAGGGTGTCTGCGCCCCACACCACTGGAGAAATTACACTGCTTAGCCGGTATTGCACCACCTGACATCCGCCGGGAAGTAGCAAGCCAATAGTGAAAGGACCAAGGCAGAGACATCTCCAGCTCATCCCCTGTTTGGGTATCAGCCAGCACGTCAACGACTTAAATCAAGACATAGTTTTCTTAGATCTACAGAGACACTCGCTGGAACACCCAGCAAGCGAGAGTCCAAAAGTGGCAGGCCCAAACCCAGCACCTCAATCCATGGGTGATACCAGATGAGAGACTCCCCCCTGGGCACACAGAAGACTGGGCGACTTGGAAGGCGCTGAACAGACTGCGCTCTGGCACCACGAGATGCAGAGCCAACCTTCAGAAATGGGGCCACAAAGTGGAATCCACGACATGCGAGTGTGGAGAAGAGCAAACCACAGACCACTTGCTGCAATGCAACCTGAGCCCTGCCACATGCACAATGGAGGACCTTCTTGCAGCAACACCAGAGGCACTCCAAGTGGCCAGATACTGGTCAAAGGACATTTAACAACTACCAAGTTTGCAAAATCTGTGTGTTTGTTTTGTTCTGTTAGAATCGTAATACAATGGTATGGTTGCTGATGACACGATAAATAAATCTCCGCTTTACCAGTTGTTTCTCTTCAATCCTGCTGTCACCTGGGATACCAACATCAAAGATCCTTACTTTGTTTTTTAACACGATATGCTCCAAAACTCTTGTCTGTCTGAATCTGGAAGTCCCAGAGGAGTTTGGCATGTTCATTCTCTGTAAATTTTTCCAGTTTGTGATCCCACCCGTTCTTCGTCGCAGGCAGATGGTCTTTGAGGCACATTTCCCAATGAATCACCTGAGCAACGGTGTTGTGCCTCTGCTTGGAGTCTGTCTGCGATCTTCTTGCAGCAGCTGAGGATGGGACCACACCTGGAATATTGTGTCCAATTCTGGGCACCACAATTCAAGAGAGATATTGACAAGCTGGAATGTGTCCAGAGAAAGAGGGCGACTCAAATGATCAAGGGTCTGGAGAACAAGCCCTATGTACAGAAGTGTTTATAATAATATGCTTATAACTGTATTTATGTTTGTATTGGTTGCCCTTAGGCTGGAGCGGCCTAGCTGTTAGGAATGTGTTACCATGGAAACGAGGCAGAAGAGGAGGTGGGAGGAGCTTAGAGAATGAAGGTTTTGAAAAGTGACAGAGTCAGTCAGGGTTTTAGGCTCAGGGAAGAGCAGGTCAGGATTGAGACTCTGAGAAGTGAAGAGTCAGGTTTCAGTGTTCGTGAATAGTAGAGATTTCTTCAGTTAGGAAGCTGAAGGGGAAAACCTTGTTAGTTGCTTTAGTTAGAAAGAACTAACAGAGGCTGTTAAGATCGCTAGTCGGGAGAAGACTAGAGATCTGTTGTTTGATCAAGGATAGATCAAACAGGGAGACTATTCACTGCAGGGAACACTGGTTAATAAAGTGCTTCACCACAGCAAGAGTTCATAAGTTGTAACATCGAAAGTCTGAATTGTATCGCAACCAAGTTACATGTAACCTTCAATTATTTGCCAAGCTTAACATCATCATACTGCAACCATACGCTTTGTTTAAAAATAAACTTGTTCTCTTTGGTTTTTGAAACTGCCTCATCTCCATTAATTCTACGTTCGTGTACCCAATCTCCCAAAATTACCTCACAACACAAACAGGGTGGCATCCAGTGGTATTAATACCAGAGCCTTTTACAAATCGGTGGCTCCTCTCTCCTAAACCTAAGGGTCTTCCTCACTAATTGCTGGCGATCTTTTACCACCTGGTAGCCGTCTCGTTACAAAGCCCTATGAGGAGCGGCTTAAGGAGCTGGGCATGTTTAGCCTGAAGAAGAGAAGGCTGAGAGGAGATATGATAGCCATGTATAAATATGTGAGAGGAAGCCACAGGGAGGAGGAGGGAGCAAGCTTGTTTTCTGCTTCCTTGGAGACTAGGACGCAATGGAGGAATGGCTTCAAACTACAAGAGAGGAGATTCCATCTGAACATGAGGAAGAACTTCCTGACTGTGAGAGAGAGCCGTTCAGCAGTGGAACTCTCTGCCCCGGAGTGTGGTGGAGGCTCCTTCTTTGGAAGCTTTTAAACAGAGGCTGGATGGCCATCTGTCAGGGTGATTTGAATGCAATATTCCTGCTTCTTGGCAGAATGGGGTTGGACTGGATGGCCCAGGAGGTCTCTTCCAACTCTTGGATTCTATGATTCTATGATTCTAAGTTTTCACATTGGATGACAAAAAGAATGTATCTGTTTTGTTATAGAGAACATTTGGAACTTTAAAAAAATGGGATGTCACAACTGTCACAAATGTAAATACACAATAGTTAGAGAGATACTTGCTAGATGGAGCTAGTGTTTAGCAGTTCTCCAGCTACCACTAACTAAATGAACGATTCGAGGCAGTCTGTTATAGTTGTATTTATTCCTTCTTTCTCCCAGATAAATCCAATGGTATTCTAGACACAGGACACCCCACAACCAAAGCCCTCCCGACAGATGGCCACCCAGTCTGTTCAAAAGCCTCCAAAGAAGGAGACTCCACCAGACCCCACAGTCCACAACCAAAAGGGTTCTAACTGTCAAGACATTGATTGTTAATTCCACAAACGAAAAATACATTTGGTTTGTTGTAGGTTTTTTCTGGCTATATGTCCATGGTCTAGAGGCATTCTCTCCTGACATTTCGCCTGCATCTATGGCAAGCATCCTCAGAGGATGCCAGTATTACAAAAACTCTGAAATTACAACAGCACAACAACAGAGAGGAAACAAACAAGGACATCTAATCACATCTCAACAAAAGTTTGCTCCAGGCACTGTTAGGCCATTATATGCTAATCAAGGTGGTCAGTTGAAACATTCACACCTAGCTCCAACAGACAGGAGTCCTTTGTCCCACCCTAGTCATTCCACAGATATATAAACCCTTTTTCCTAGTTCCAACAGACCTCACTACCTCTGAGGATGCTTGCCATAGATGCAGGCGAAACGTCAGGAGAGAATGCCTCTAGACCATGGCCATATAGCCCGAAAAAACCTACAACAACCCAGTGATTCCAGCCATGAAAGCCTTCGACAATACATTACATTTTTATTTATATAGACTGTAAATTAGATTGTTTGTGTCAAATAATTAATAAAATAATCTCAAACAATGTTTTTTATTTCTCAGGTCCCTTCCAGACAGCTGTATAAAATCCACACTGAACTGGATTATATGGCAGTGTGAACTCAGATATTCCGGTTCAAAGCAGATCATGTGGATTATCTGCCTTGATATTCTGGATTATATGGCAGTGTAGAAGGAGCCTGAGTCTGTTGTTGTTCATTCGTTCAGTCGTCTCCGAGTCTTCGTGACCTCATGGACCAGCCCACGCCAGAGCTCCCTGTCGGCCCTCACCACCCCCAGCTCCTTCAAGGTCAAGGCCTGAGTCTACACTGCCATATAATCCAGTTCAAAGCAGATAATGTGGATATTTTTCATAGTTATTAGATTTTTGGTGGCCCTTCTCTGGACACATTCAGGCCTGTCCATATCCTTCTTGGGTGGTGGTGCCCAGAACTGGACATGGCATTCCAAATGAGTTGTTGTTGTTGTTATTATTATTATTCCAGGTGAGTTCCAAAACACAGCCCTTTGGCCGCTCGGACTTACCTGGAGGGGTCAAGGAGGACCTTTCGGGCTTCGGGGAGCTGGCTGAGGTTGGAGAGGAGGGGCCCCAAGTAGTGGAGTCCGGCCTGGGGGTCGGGGCTTCCGAGGGCGTCCACTAGGGCCACTAGTCCCTTCTCGTTCTCCCTCTGCAGAGCGGTCAAGAGTTGCTGGGCAGCGGCTTCTTCCCTGGAGAAGTTGGAGAGGAGGGCGCAAGCCTGGTCAGCCAAGGGGTTCCTGGGGTCCAGCAGGAGGCCCAAGAGGTCAGGCAGACCCTTCGCCAGGACGATGTGAGTGTCCGGTTCCGTGGCCAGGTTGATGAGGGCATGGAAGGCCTCTTTGGCCACATCCGCAGAAGGGTCAGTGGTCAGGGCCAGCAGGGCCTCTACAAAGTCCGGCCGGGTGGTCAAGAGCTGCCTGCCCTCCGGAGTGACCGTCAGCCCTGCCACGCAATGGACAGCTTGGGCTCGCAGGTCCGGCCGGGATTCAGGGCCAAGGAAGTCCAGCAGCTCCCGGGCCTGTTGGTCATCCATGATGGTCCTGTGGTGGACGCAGAGTGGACCGGACCTGGAAGGGGGACAAAGACAACGCAAGCCATTAGCCAGACCATTCCCTTACTTACTTAAGTGATCCCTCTTAGCCTGAGGATGATGGTCCCTTGAGTCTAGTGTCCTGGCGGTGTGTCCGTAGGTGGCTGTGGAGCCCTATTCTTGACCCGCAGTGAGGACATCGGTTTCCAGACAGAAGGTGATCCAAGTCAGGGTTGGCTTGATGCACATTCCTCTTGACACATTTCTCCTTTTTGCCCTCTATTCATGCCTCTTCAAATTCTGCAGCACTGCTGGTCACAGCTGACCTCCACTTAGAGCACTCAGACATCAGTTTCCAGACGGAAGGCGGTCCTGGTCAGGGTTGGCTTGATGCACATTCCTCTTGACACGTTTTTCCCTTTCACCCTCCATTCGTGCCTCTTCGAATTCTGCAGCACTGCTGGTCACAGCTGACCTCCAGTTAGAGCGCTCACATTGGTTTCCAGACGGAAGGTGGTCCTGGTCAGGGTTGGCTTGATGCACATTCCTCTTGACACATTTCTCCTTTTTGCCCTCCATTCATGCCTCTTCGAATTCTGCAGCACTGCTGGTCACAGCTGACCTCCAGTTAGAGCGCTCGGACATTGGTTTCCAGACGGAAGGTGGTCCTGGTCAGGGTTGGCTTGATGCACATTCCTCTTGGCACATTTCTCCTTTTTGCCCTCTATTCATGCCTCTTCGAATTCTGCAGCACTTCTTGATCCGCATGTTCTCCCACAGTGAGGGCATTGGTTTTCAGACAAAAGGCAGTCCTGGTCAGGGTTGGCTTGGCATGCCTTCCTCTTGGCATGTTTCTCCCTTTCGCCCTCCATTCATGCCTCTTCGAATTCTGCGGCACTGCTGGCCACAGCCGACCTCCCACAGTGAGGGCATCGGTTTCCAGGTGGAAGGCGGTCCTGGTCAGGGTTGGCTTGACGCGCCTTCCTCTTGGCACATTTCTCTCTTTCGTCCTCCATTCGTGCCTCTTCGAATTCTGCAGCACTGCTGGTCACAGCTGACCTCCAGTTAGAGTGCTCAAAGGCCAGGGCTTCCCAGTTCTCGGTGTCCATGCCACAGTTTTTAAGGTTGGCTAGCCAGACCATAAACTAATTTTGTTGTAAGTTTTTTGAGCTATATGGCCATGTTGTTTTTTGGACTATATGGCTATGTTCTAGAAGCATTTGCTCCTGACGTTTCACCTGCATCTATGGCAAGCACCCTCAGAGGTTGTGAGGTCTGTTGGAAACTAGGAAACCCAGTGATTCCGGCCATGAAAGCCTTCGGCAATGCTCTGTTCCTGGTTTGAAAGTATTATTTCCTATTTAATATTCCTGCAGGCATAAGGTGTCTTTAAAATCAAAATAAATAATGGCACAGAATTAACATCCATTGTGTGAGTCCTTTTAACTCTTTTCCTTCATACTGATTGGACAGTATTGTCGAAGGCTTTCATGGCCGGAATCACTGGGTTGTTGTAGGTTTTTTGGGGCTTTTTTTTATTTGTCGTGTCAGAGCAACCAGTCCATTATATTACATTTCTAACAGAACAAAGCAAAACAGACAAAATACAAAACTTGTGAGTTTGGTAGTTGGTTAAATGTCCTTTGACCAGTATCTGGCCCTTGGAGTGCCTCTGGTGTTGCTGCAAGAAGGTCCTCCATGTGCATGTGGCAGGGCTCAGGGTGCATTGCAGCAGGTGGTCAGTGGTTTGCTCTTCTCCACACTCGCATGTCGTGGATTCCACTTTGTGGCCCCATTTCTGAAGGTTGGCTCTGCATCTCATGGTGCCAGAGCGCAGTCTGTTCAGCGCCTTCCAAGTCGCCCAGTCCTCTGTGTGCCCAGGGGGGAGTCTCTCATTTGGTATCAGCCATTGGTTGAGGTTCTGGGTTTGAGCCTGCCACTTTTGGACTCTCGCTTGCTGAGGTGTTCCAGCGAGTGTCTCTGTAGATCTTAGAAAATTATGTCTTGATTTAAGTCGTTGACGTGCTGGCTGATACCCAAACAAGGGATGAGCTGGAGATGTCTCTGCCTTGGTCCTTTCACTATTGGCTGCTACTTCCCGGCGGATGTCAGGTGGGGCGAAGTGTAATTTCTCCAGTGGTGTAGGGCACAGACACCCCGTGATAATGCGGCATGTCTCATTAAGAGCCACATCCACTATTTTATCGTGGTGAGATGTGTTCCACACTGGGCATGCATACTCAGCAGCAGAGTAGCATAGCGCAAGGGCAGATGTCTTCACTGTGTCTGGTTGTGATCCCCAGGTTGTGCCAGTCAGCTTTCGTATGATATTGTTTCTAGCGCCCACTTTTTGCTTGATGTTCAGGCAGTGCTTCTTGCAGGTCAGAGCAAAGTTTGATATATCAAAGTTTGGTATATTCATACCAAATTGGAGAGGGGCCCTAAAGATCATCTAGCCCTGCCCTTTCCTGCAGGACAGGGACCCACAGACAACACCTCCCATCATCCCCTTCCATCTGATGGAGAGACTGGGCTGCTCAACCAATAGTCCTGGCCAACTGAGTTTTCAAGGGAAACAAAACACAACAACAACAATAACAATAATAGCTGGCACAGTGCTGCACTTACTCTGCTGCTCCTTGGGCGGCCTCCACGTGTTTTCCTCCTCTCACTTCCGGGTCTGAGGAGGCTCAGCCAATGGCTGCTGCGCCTCGCGGAAAGGGGCGGGGCAACCCCAAGCGCCTGGATGCTCCCAGCCAATCGGAACGGCGCTCCGGAGCAGAGCTTGCTGGGGGATGTAGTTCTCCCTTCCCTTTCATTCCTGTTGCCTCTAAACTCCCCTTTAAGTTCAATCTCGCGGCTCCAATGCTTTCTGGATTTTCCCATTGAAATATATGATATATTATAATAACATATACATAACAATAATATATTTTAATAGTTTGTAACTTGCAATTTTTTAAAAAAATACTGCTTATAGGTTGCTGTGAGTTTTCAGAGAAACAACCAGGGCCAGCTAAGCACCTCCCAACAAAGAATTCCCCCCCCCAGACAGGAAGCAGGCATGCCTTGATGCTGCAAGGCCATTCAATGCTAACCAAGGCTGCCAATCGCACCTATCGATCTACTACTCACATTTGCATGTTTTCGAACTGCTAGGTTGGCAGAAGCTGGGGCTAACAGCGGGAGCTCACCCCATTCCCTGGATTCGAACCGCCGACCTTTCAGTCAGCAAGCTCAGCAGCTCAGCCGTTTAACCCACTGCATCACCAGTGAAGCCATGGGGCCACGGGGAAAGGTCTTAGGCTACCACATGGGGATATGGACTGAAGAAATGGATCTGAGGGGCGTAGGGGTCCGTTCAGCAGAAAGTGAGATGACAGTCTTAGAATTCGACAGGGAGAAAGATGGCACCGATTTGGAGCAGATTGGTTAACCCGCGGATACTGAGACAAGTTAATACATCATTCCTTTAAACTGCGGATATGGAGTCCCACATGGGGACTCCGTATCCGCAGGTTAAAGGAATGATGTATTAACTTGAATTAGTAGCTTTGAATCCTTGCTGTAAGCTGGTCTGAATCCCTCTATGGAGGTGAGAAGATCAGGATATAAACATTCTAAATTTATTTATTTATTGTGTCAGGAGCAACCAGACATTTGTATTACATTTTTATCAAAAACAAACAAACAAACAGACAAAACACAAAGTTTGCAAGCTTGTTATTCTATTAAATGTCCTTTGACCAGTATCTGGCCACTTGGAGTGCCTCTGGTGTTGCCGCAAGAAGGTCCTCCATTGTGCATGTGGCAGGGCTCAGGGTGCATTGCAGCAGGTGGTCAGTGGTTTGCTCTTCTCCACACTCGCATGTCGTGGATTCCACTTTGTGGCCCCATTTCTTGAGGTTGGCTCTGCATCTCGTGGTGCCAGAGCGCAGTCTGTTCAGCGCCTTCCAAGTCGCCCAGTCTTCTGTGTGCCCAGGGGGGAGTCTCTGATATCAGCCATGGATTGAGGTTCTGGGTTTGAGCCTGCCACTTTTGGACTCTTGCTTGCTGGGGTGTTCCAGCGAGTGTCTCTGTAGATCTTAGAAAACTATGTCTTGATTTAAGTTATTGACGTGCTGGCATAGTTCATGAAAAGGTCACTTTGCTTCATAATTTTTATACAGACATACACATATAGAATCATAGAATCATAGAATCAAAGAGTTGGAAGAGACCTCATGGGCCATCCAGTCCAACCCCATTCTGCCAAGAAGCAGGAATATTGCATTCAAATCACCCCTGACAGATGGCCATCTAGCCTCTGTTTAAAAGCTTCCAAAGAAGGAGCCTCCACCACACTCCGGGGCAGAGAGTTCCACTGCTGAACGGCTCTCACAGTCAGGAAGTTCTTCCTCATGTTCAGATGGAATCTCCTCTCTTGTAGTTTGAAGCCATTGTTCCACTTCCTAGTCTCCAAGGAAGCAGAAAACAAGCTTGCTCCCTCCTCCCTGTGGCTTCCTCTCACATATTTATACATGGCTATCATATCTCCTCTCAGCCTTCTCTTCTTCGGGCTAAACATGCCCAGTTCCCTAAGCCGCTCCTCATAGGGCTTGTTCTCCAGACCCTTGATCATTTTAGTCGCCCTCCTCTGGACACATTCCAGCTTGTCAATATCTCTCTTGAATTGTGGTGCCCAGAATTGGACACAATATTCCAGGTGTGGTCTAACCAAAGCAGAATAGAGGGGTAGCATTACTTCCCTTGATCTAGACACTATGCTCCTATTGATGCAGACCAAAATCCCATTGGCCTTTTTTTGCCGCCACATCACATTGTTGGCTCATGTTTAACTTGTTGTCCACGAGGACTCCAAGATCTTTTTCACACGTACTGCTCTCGAGCCAGGCGTCCCCCATTCTGTATCTTTGCATTTCATTTTTTCGGCCAAAGTGGAGTATCTTGCATTTGTCACTGTTGAACTTCATTTTGTTAGTTTTGGCCCATCTCTCTAATCTGTCAAGATCGTTTTGAATTCTGCTCCTGTCCTCTGGACTATTGGCTATCCCTCCCAATTTGGTGTATATGATGGATGGGGGCATGGGGCATACACAGAGTTCATAGGGAAAGGGGAAGGCATGCAGGGTCAAAGGGGAATTCAGTTTAGCCACCCCAAAGTCCATCAAAGTTCATGAAAGTTGGTAAAAAGTTCCAAAAAGTTCACGAGAGTTCATAAATGTTCATAAAAGCACTGATTAGCTGGAGTCAATTCATAAAAAAAATTCATAAATTCAATTCATGAGTGGTCCGATTGGTCTGCCAGTTGTTGGGGGTCCCGTGGGGTGACCATAAGAGACTTCCTGGGATTGACAGGCTTCCAGGTTGGGGGAGATGTGCAGAAAAGGAAGGCAAGAGCTTCGTTGTTGTGTGGATGGAGCCATAGAAAAAAACCTTCTGGTCCCCACATAAGGTTTCACGCAAAGAGGTGGATTTCCGGGATGCAAAAAGTAAGATAGCAGTTAGTCTTAGAATTTACCCAGGAAAAAGTATGAAATTTGAACGATCGGTCAACCCGCGGATACCGGGACCCAGCTGGTTTCCATATCCGCGGTTTGAAGGATCGCAGTTTCGGCCTCCCCAGGACGCTGTAAGAGCGTCCCGCATGAGCCAGCAGAGTGGATCAGTCAAGGGAAGAGAAGGGTTTATATTTATTGGTAGAATCAGTAAAGGGACACAATGTCTCACTGCAGAGAGAGAAAAGTTAGAGAAAAGGATACGTTTTATTGGGGGGTTGTTACAATGAAGCAGGGGAAAGTGAGACGGGAGGAAAAAAAGTTTCTTTATTGAATTTTGCTGGAGCCACAGTCCTTTTGTCATCTTGAAAGTCCATGTTTCCAGGAACTGTGGAACTCCCTGCTGCATTCAGATCAGTTTGAAGGTGGGGGTCTCTTTCTCTTCTCCTTTCCTTGCTCCCTCCTCCTCCCTGTGGCTTCCTCTCACATATTTATACATGGCTATCATATCTCCTCTCAGCCTTCTCTTCTTCAGGCTAAACATGCCCAGCTCCTTAAGCCGCTCCTCATAGGGCTTGTTCTCCAGACCCTTGATCATTTTAGTGCCCTCCTCTGGACACATTCCAGCTTGTCAACATCTCTCTTGAATTGGTGCCCAGAATTGGACACATATTCCAGGTGTGGTCTAACCAAAGCAGAATAGAGCATGGGGAGCATGACTTCCCTAGATCTAGACACTATGCGCCTCTTGATGCAGGCCAAAATCCCATTGGCTTTTTTCGCCGCCACATCACATTGTTGGCTCATGTTTAACTTGTTGTCCACGAGGACTCCAAGATCTTTTTCACACGTACTGCTCTCGAGCCAGGCGTCCCCCATTCTGTCTCTTTGCATTTTGTTCTTCCTGCCAAAGTGGAGTATGTTCTGAATCCTAGTCTCCAGGGAAGCAGAAAACAAGCTTGCTCTCCCCTCCTCCCTGTGGCTTACTCTCACATATTTATACATGGCTATCATATCTCCTCTCAGCCTTCTCTTCTTCAGGCTAAACATGCCCAGCTCCTTAAGCCGCTCCTCATAGGGCTTGTTCTCCAGACCCTTGATCATTTTAGTTGCCCTCCTCTGGACACATTCCAGCTTGTCGATATCTCTCTTGAATTGTGGTACCCGGAATTGGACACAGTATTCCAGGTAAAGTGGTCTAACCAAAGCAGAATAGAGCATGGGGAGCATGACTTCCCTAGATCTAGACACTATGCGCCTCTTGATGCAGGCCAAAATCCCATTGGCTTTTTTCGCCGCCACATCACATTCCTGGCTCATGTTTAACTTGCTGCCCAGGAGGACTCCAAGATCTTTTTCATACGTACTGCTCTCGAGCCAGGCCTCATCGTCCCCCATTCTGTCCATGTTTCCAGGAACTGTGGAACTCCCTGCTGCATTCAGATCAGTTTGAAGGCGGGGGTCTCTGAGTTCGACCACAATATGATGGGGATGTGTGTCTGATGCCTTCCCAAACCAAGCGAATTCCAATGGCACTGGGACCCAGCAGAATGCCACACTCTCTGAGTTTCTGTTTCCCTGAAAAATCACTTTCTTTTCTTGGGAAACAGAAACTCAAAGGCTGTGGCTGTCAGAGGATGAGCTGTCTGTGGCTGGCGAGAGAGATGCCCAGGCAAGCCTTGCCATCATTGGATTCCCTGCCGGCCGAGACTGAGCAAGGAGGGGGCTTCGAGCTGCCCACTGCAGACCCCCAGGGAAGCCCCTCCAGCTTTAAGGTATTTGGGTTTTATTTATTTACTTGCAACCAGTCAATTGTATTACAATTCTAACAGAACAAAGCAAACAAACAGACAAAATACAAAATTTGCAAGCTTGGTAGTTGATTAGATGTCCTTTGAGCAGTATCTATCCCCTTGGAGTGCCTCTGGTGTTGCTGCAAGAAGGTCTTCCATTGTGTATGTAACTGGGCTCAGGTTGCATTGCAGCAGGTGGTCAGTGGTTTGCTCTTTTCCGCACTCACATGTTGTGGACTCCACTTGGTGGCCCCATTTCTGGAGGTTGGCTCTGCATCTCGTGGTGCCAGAGCGCAGTCTGTTCAGCGCCTTCCAAGTCGCCCAGTCTTCTGTGTGCCCAGGGGGGAGTCTCTCATTTGGTATCAGTTCTGGGTTTGAGCCTGCCACTTTTG